AAAAAAAAAAGAAAAAGAAAAAGAAAAAGAAAAAGTCACAACTGAACCGAAACGATCTTTGCGCGATGACCCACATTACAAGGTACGCAAGACTCTCGGACTCCAGGTATTCCATAATGCAAGGGGTTAACTTGGCTTGCCATGCAGGGGTACCGAAACTCAAAGCTCATAAATAGACTCCAAGAGTTCTCGATTTGAATCTCCTTTCAAGTACACGTTTCAAATCGAATCTGTCCATCTTTCACTCTCTTGATATGTAAACGACTGAAACGAAAGTGGAGCGAAAAGGCTTGCTTTGACTGTCAGATTAAAATATCGATGTCGGGTAATCGGCACGTGGGTCACGGGAACTCTTCCAGGGACTTGCCGAGTTAAAGCTCGGCTAAACTAAACTACAACTTCGATCCAGTTAAGATGGAGGTTATTACCGACCACGGCTGGTGATCTTTATTTGGTGTGTGTCCAGATGATTGAGGCTTACGTTTCATCTGTTATGATTGCCAAACTCTTTTTTGCTGCAGTAGATATACGCACATTATGCAAGGTATGTACTAGTACGTTATGGTGGAAAAAGAATGTTAGGGAATGCACTACCAGCCTTATATTAGCACAGGTGAAACAAGATCTGCCCTGATGTTCCAAACGTTAACTATATCTTGGACTGTCTGCTATTGGTCCTTATAAACTGGTGAAGTGTGGTCCAAAATCTTAGTTATGCTGTCTACACAGGTCCAAGAAATGGGGCAACCAGAAAAACAGCTCTCGTAAACTCCGAGCTGGCTTCGGTTGATGTAGCATCTGACAGATGTAGACTCGATCTACTTGCTCTCATAATTGCCGACTTGGTGAATGCACTCGAGGTTTTAGCGCTGATACCAAAAAGCCTATGTTTTACTGATAGACGCAGCAGAACCACTCCTAAGGAATGGTTTGGCGCTCTTCCAGATCATAGATGATCACTAAACCCCTTAAGCGAAAACGATAATGACAACTTCGTCTATTCCATGAAACTACAGATGCCTATGACCTACATACTCCTTCGGTCAACAATCCCTCGGGCGCAAAAATATAAGAACACGTTCGGGATAACAGATTTATAACTTTGCTTTAACTCTCGTTCTACAGGACCTTTAGGGTGTTGTCGCCTGCAAGTATCTCACAAGGACAAAGCTAACTATCATGGGCGTAGTGGCAGTGATGTGACAGCTACCATTATCCTGCCTTGTTCTCTAAGTAGGTTATAGTCACGGGATAATTTTGTACTCATGAAAGTAGACCGTTGTGTTTGCCAAAACCATGGATGTCGCCCAACGCTCATAGATCACATGATGATGATATCGGTGGCGCCGTGGCGCGGAGCACGGAGAGTTGCCACAGCCACGTCTCGCTTGCCATGTCATCACTTTCTTTCCAGCTTCCCGCCTCGTTCAGCTACCAACAGTCAGTGCTCTGATAAGCTCATATTCCCTATCCGAACGTATTGCGATCAATTTCATCACAGCAGTGCCTTCTGCGGTCCAGTTGGCAAACTGCTATTGGAAGCTATAAGCATGATTCGAAACTACGGAATCCTTCTGATGAGACACCGCCATCAACAGGAGCTAACCGGCCCTTGCGTAGCCCCTTCCTCTTTACTCAGTAATATTGTGTGACTACAGTAGAACTTATTCGGATGTTCAGCTTCGAGATCCCGTGTCTGAGGGAGTAACCAAGGATTTCCTCTCATAGGCAGAAAGCCTCTTCGAGGGGGTGAAATCTACACTAACCCACGTGACTATATATCCCGATTGGGAAGTCAGCCGCAGATAGGTCAGGTGTCTGCTACCGCGTCAACGCGACGTTTCTACCAAGAGCTCAGTTCAACCTTGCCCTCTGGCTACACCATCTATTAACTTTTCAATACCAATCCGAATCAACGATACTACTTGTCGCATGATCGCATGACTGCTGACGAATAATATATTTTTCATCAATTTTACGCGCTGAACCCGCGCCATCCGCTCATCTTTTCCGTCGCCCAGTGGTTATCGCGCCCAACGAATCGCCGCTCTTCTCCGAACGTTATCGACCATTGACGATCCATTTCATCAAAAATGGCCACCGACTACAGCAAGAAGACTAATGCCGAGCTAGTGGAGATCCTCAAGTCTCGCTCCTTGCCTCACACTGGCAAGAAGGCGGAGATGGTTGCCCGCCTCCAGGAGGATGACAACAGCAAGGCACAGACTGCAGCGCCAGCCGCAAAAGCCGATAACGCAGAAGATGTGATTGACTGGGAGGACGATGATGTGCCTGCCGCAGATGCTGCTGCAGCGAAGCCGTCAACGGAGGCTGGTGCTGCAGCGATCGCTGCAGGTGGTCAGGGCGCTGTCTCTAACCCGACTGCAGTTCCGAACCAGCAGCAAGACACCAACCCCGCCACTACAAATGATCTTAAGGTAGAATCTAATGGGGATGCTGCCCCTACTGCACAAGAGGGAACGGAGGCAGCACCCGCTGAGACCGCTGAGACGACTGAGGCCGCTTCGGCTGAGGAGAAGCCAGCGCCCGACTACTCCATTGGCCTTTCCGTTACCGACATGGAAGAGGAATTGAAGAAGCGTAAGGCTCGTGCCGAAAAATTTGGCATTACTGAAGATTCGAAGACCGCAATCGAAGAAGCGGAGAGAAAACTTGAGAGGGCTAAACGGTTTGGTGCTGCACCCGAGGAACCGGCTGCAACTGGAGTTAGCAAGTTGGACCAGGCACTTCCCAGCGAGAAGGCCCGCAAGAGGGGTCGCGGCGAGAATGATCAAGGCAAGCGGGGAGGCAAAAGACGGGATTTCGGTGGGAGGAACAGGAATCAGAATCAGAATCAGAACCAGAACCAGAACCAGAACCGGCGACGGGGTCAGGGTAACCGTAACCAAGGTCAAAACCAACGCAGCAATGAGAAGCCTGCCAGCAGCGGCTTGAGTGAGAAGGATAAGCTCGCTCTGGAGGCTAGGAAGAAGCGATTTGGGGCTGCTGCGTGATTAGATCCATGTTTCATTACCACTTCTACTTGTTTTTCTAAACATGGCGCGATTTCATAGGCGTTTTGAGGGAATCATTACTGTGGAATCTTAGTATATGCATTTACCATATTACACGGAACGTCTCTCCCCCTTTTTTCTTCCTTTTCATATTTTTCTTTTCTTTTGTTGAAAAGTCACCAGCAACGTGGGGGTTAACCGGAATAGCTAATAGTAATACGAGACACTCGTACTACTTGCAGAGTACGTACATACAAGTGAGTGCGCTATTAGACTAATATGGCGAGCCTGGTTCGAAACCTGTAATAGGCAAACGGATCTACAGGAAGGATAGAGACAATGTAACTAAATTGGGAGCATGGACCGATTAGCGTCACAGAAATATGTAGTACCTTTATCAGTATATTTTCTTTTTCTTCTTTCTCCCCCCTTTCTTCCGTAGCATGCTATATGCTGTCCTACGTTATCATGTTGGAGTCAAACTCGTGGAAGTGGCGGAATACACACGAGTCAGCTGAAAAGTGCAGGACGGATTCCGTTCCTGCAGCAAACCAGCGCCCACTTCGCTCGGAATAGTATGTCGACTAATTTCCTGGTCGGATCTGATCGACAACTCGCTAAGTGCGCAGAATGATCGCTATTGCAGAAGGACAGAAGTACAGGTTTGGTCTTTACTTCAACTACTCTCTTTAGTCTGTCTGAACGTTCACGTCGAATTTCCTCTCTCAACCAGTCCGATCACGCAGGCTGGGCCAACATCTCGAGATTTTCTACGCCGATCCGTGATTGGTATTTGGAATATTTGTCTAGACTCCCGTACTTGCTGCGGCACAGCGACAATGTTTTCACACCCGTTAAAGCACGTTCGAATTTACCGCCGTCCCCACAGGGGCCGGAAGTATCACGGAGGCCTCTGCTTTGGTCTGGCGAATCCCTCACCGCAGTTGCCTTTTGCCCATGGGTGCTAAGCCTGGCGGATTGAACCCATGTCGCCTCGCGCGTGCCCGTCAGGCCGTCTTCCGTCAATCAGGATCGCCCATGGCCGGTTCTCCATTTAGCGGCGGATCAAGGACCCACGGCTCAGCGTCCCCACACACAAAGGATACATACAGGACGGGGCGATTTTTCACTTGGGGCCCATCCTAATTGACCCCGGGGTCTCAGCTTCTTTGTCCGGGATGTCCTTTCACGTCTATGAGTGGTTCTTGTTTGTTATATTATGAATTCTCTTGAGACCTATCCTTTTGACCCGTTTCGGCCGTGAATTTATCTGTCACCCCACGGATACGATGGAGAATTTGTTGTGTGTATTCAAAGGTTCGCCCCGAACCTTTCGGCGTACCAGAGAGTAGAATCTATGGTTATGGTGACGGGAAAGCAAAAGCTACGCCAATATGTGTCAGGCATAGAGCACTCTGGCACTTGGGTATGGTCGATTTTCAGAATACATCTTGGATAGGGTTGTATAGAGGGGAGACGGTGGGCGAGAGGCCCATCTCGTTAGAGTACGAAACGGCTCGTGTAGGAATTGTAAATTGTCATGTTGAACAAGGCAAAAAAGAGCGTCGTACATGCATGATGATGATCGATTAGTGGTGTTCGGCCTCGCCGGGGGGACGATCGCAAGTCACTGACCACCACCTGACTTGGGGACCATCCATTACTAAGAAAAGAAAATCTTCGTAAGAAATTGTCCGAATTCCATCCTATCACAGCTTGTATACCGACACACAGACCAAATAGAGCTCTGGACTACTGCAGTACCGCATTACCAACAGATTTGCTGATGCCTGCATCTGCCATCTGGGTGTCTGCTTAACGAGGGGCTTTTGGCGAAAGTGCCGATTGCGCATACGACGGACTTTTCCGCTATCTCACGCCACTCAACCCCATTCCAACCTGTCAACTGCCATATTCCAATGTATCCAATCCGCCGAGGCCATAATACTTACCAGTCGGAGCAAACTGACTGGGTCCCTGTACTGGACCTGTCCTTGACTTCTGTCCTCTGTCGTGCACGTTCCTTTTACGGTTGACGGAGATCCACTCCCTGTCGGGGTCGTGTTTTTAGAGGAAATCTACACTATCGTTACCTTTCTTGTCGATTCTTGGCGATTCTAAATTATCGAAGGCTTAAAACAATCCCTAACAGAAACAAAGTTACCCGTCCTCGCACCAATAGTCTCCCCGGTCACATCTGTGCTCGACAACGGGTCCGATGTCGATCGCACAGAGCCATCCTGGATTTCTCTCTGCGGTCTCTATATGGGTACTTAGTCTGCGAATAGAAACCATGTCTCCCCGCTGTGCCGGGCTGTCTTGGTATGGTCCAAATTAGCGCTGGGCACATTCTTGAACTTGAAAAGTCCAGATTGTCCCAAGGCTCCTCGCTCCATGATCTAAATTCGGCTCGTTAAAATTCTTTCTCACATTTTTCTTTCTTTTAATTCTTGCACAGCTGGTCTCTGTGTCAACGTTACTAAATTACTACTATCTTCTATCGTCCTTTTTAAAAATTTCTCCTCTGACGTGGTCGTGCAGACACAGCTCCCGACAGTCAACAACTTTGCATTGCATGTTAGCCACAGTGGGCTGTGGCGGAGTACATGCAAGCTGTCCGGTCCTTCTTCAAAATAATAAAAAAAGGAAATTGACCGCTCTTAAGTATTTCGCTATCTTGGATATTATTACATCACTATCTCCCCTCGTATAGAGAAGAGGTCACCGAGGTTTCTGACAAAGTTACCTTCGCTCTACTTTCTTTGCCCTTCTTTTGGTGCTTATCTGTCCCACCAATAGATATTCCCCCCACACGATTAATATTTATTTTCCCCCGACTTCTTACTATACGACCCGTTTAAACATGTTGACACGGGTGCATTGATTGCTGGCCAATTTTTCTAGTCTTGATAATGGAAGGTAGGTAAATATCGGCTTCCATACCGCATCTTAGTGTGATGCTTACATCGTTAGCGGTTCTATTAGAAGCAGTGATCATTATTTAGCCGGGATGATTCCATGGCCATACTGTATTTCACCCACGGTTGGATTATTAGTCTTCGGACTGGAGCTGGAAATTGGACTCAGGTAGCACCATGGCGTCGCACAAGTCTGAGAGCGGTCGAATACCGCGATTAAAGGACCTTGCGTCCCAGTCGCGAAACGCACCACTGCCTGTTATCAATGCATCGGCGAGAGTTGCTAATTCCTCAATTTCGCTGTCATCAGCACTGCGCATGACAAGGCCTACAAACATTAGAACCGGGGCCAACAAGGGGTCATCTCTATCCCACACTGATTCAGGTCATCCTGTAGCACCATCGAAGCCTCCTAAAATACCCTCTACGCACAATGCTCGCTCGTTGTTACCTCCACGAGCAGCTACGCATCCGCTGCCGTCAGTAGCTCGCTCTACCCCAAGTGTGTTAAATACTGAACGAGGACCACCGCTACGGGTAAACACTGAGACACCTTCCAATTCACTGACTGTTGATTATCAACAGCCTGTCCGTGGTAAACCACGGAATGTTCTTCGGAGGAAGGCACCGACTATTGGTCAACACACTGGGAATAACAAGTCAATCACCGAGGGGACAAAGCCCGAAAAGCTAAATGTTATGATTCCAGATACTACCCCTCCGGACCAAGTCATGGATGGAAGTTCCCCACTCCCGCGGCGTCAAACCGAGTCTATAAAGGAAACATTTTCGCCATACATACCTCAGGATACAACTGTGGGAGGAACCCCCGAACAGCATGCTCACAATGGACCAAAGGAGCTTGCAAGTCTACGAACTACTATCAATACGCAAAACCTACCTCCTCCAACGCCTATATTCGCCTCGGCCAGTAGTCCATCAACAAGATACTCTGGCTCACCGGGTATGTGGAGTAGGACATCTACGCCCACATCCTTATCTTCCTATTCCCCAGGAATTGTACAACCGGTTAAGGCCGTACCCCGTATCAGACAACCAAGCCCATCTCAAACCAGACTTCCTGTCTCGTCGCGGCAGGCACAACAAATATCGCAAGAACATTCAGTCCAGTCGAGGGCTAACAAGTCCCCTGGTTCCGTCCCAGAGCTGAGCGCAAACTCTTCTTGTAAAAGCGGAAGTCAGGATTCTGCAGTGAAAGGGTTGACAGTGGATACTTCCACTATTTCTGGCAGCCTTTCCTCTAGGAAAACAGTCGCCAAGTCTTGTCTCCCGAGAAAGACACAAGAGAAGGCTGTCACAGAGTCCGGCTCCTCAAGCAAAGAGACCTCCCAAGCTATTCGATCACCTGAGAGCACTAAAGTAAATGGAGCCCAGGAAATTGAAAGCAATGCTACGCACATACCAGCACGACCAAGTAGGGAGGGAACACATATGTTGCAGGTGGAGCCGTCACCCGTTGTCCGAAGTAACCTGTTACCTGATACAGTGACAAGCCATAAAAGACGTCCATCAGTGGAAAGCTCATTCACTTCTGAGAGACTTCCGCCAGGCTCCATTCAATCGGCGTCAACTTCAGTGGATTCACTACCGTCGAGGAGTCCTTCTCAACTGCCTTCCCGTCTGTCACCTGAGCTTTCAAGAAAACCCCCACGGGCCTCAATAAAAGAAACAAAGGCGCGACCGGCACATCAGACACCGACAAGCCCATCCAAGAGTCGAAGATTTGGGCTGTTCACCAAGAAGTCCAAGCCTGAATTGGAAACACAATCGTCTGAAGGAAGTCGTACAGCTCGAAAGGGCCCATCTGCGGGAACAGGGCACGAAGGATACGGCAAGTACGCACAACGCGGTCGAAGGACAAGCGTCACCAGTAGCGGGTCTAGGACAAGATCAACTAGCACGGTGAGAAGTGCATCTAGATCTGTCTCTAGTAAAGGAAGCATGAACAGTCGCCCAGAAATGGAACTCGATGATTTCTTGCTTGATCGTCTCGAACCTGTCTTTATCAATGGTGGAGGTGTTGATGGTACGGCATTGGCTCGAACACAGAGTGAGCAAAGCTCAAGTGGCCTCAGCACAAGCTCTGCCACGAGCCTACCCCAGGAGGCCACAACCCCAAAGCCCTACGGCTATTCCACCGAATCATTGACGTCGTCGACCAATACCATTGGTAAGCTTGAAAAGACCGGTCAGGAAACCACCCCAGAAAAGAACGTGCGGGCAGCCCCTGCATCTATTCACCAGTCAAAGACTCGCTATACTGAAAATTTGGAGAAGCCAATTTCAAGCTCACATGTCGGTTCTGAGAGACCACAACCACGTGCAATTGGCTCTGGGCAACCTCGCCCAGGTGCTAGGGGTTCACCAAATTCTGTGAAGACAAATGGGGTGACGAGTCAGTCAAATAAGTCACCCAAGAAAGGATTAGGTCTCAAATGGAATTTTTTCCAGAAAAGCCGCGACACTAAAAATGCCGAGAGTGAAGTTCCACTCCCACCTCATCGTGTCCAAGCCACGGTATCGCCAACAGCAGCAGCAGCAGTTCGTCGGCCTATTGCGCATTATGCTTTGGTTGATGTTGACTCTGACACCTTGGAGGATATTATACGGAATGTTGAAGATTCACCGCCAACTGAGGAGGAAAAGATAGATACTCCAGTGGAGATCCCAGCGGCCTTGAATATTAAGAGGCCTAGCGAATCTATTTTGCTGCCGTCCCCTCCTAAGCTGAACGGCGAATTCAAGGCTTCTACGAAAGTCTACTTCAATAGGGATCCGGTGCCTCCCAGCTCCCCACATCTAGCAGAACCCCCGGAAGAGCAGCGCCCAACACGCCTTGCATCGGTCGGTCGGATACCACGTGTAGTCTCGAGAAGAGACAGGCAGCACAAACCGGCTTTTCAATCCTTCTCGAGGCCATTCAGTATGGCTGATTCCCCTTCGATCGCAGCTCCCGTGGCAACTACTCTATCTGACTACTCGCCGCCGGGCTTACCCGCACTGGAGGCTCAAACAGGGACGTATCATGGGAATCCGTCAAGCTTTGCCTTTGATTTTACTCAACCATTTGGCGACCCTACGGGCCGTAGCGTTTTGGACTTTCTTGCTGGACCTTACTCCTCGGACCAATTCTTGACATTCTATCCTAGAAAGGATTCAACGACGACCATAACAAGTTCAAGTGGCTCAGAGAGCCTAGCAGCAGTCACAGCTGTTATCCCGGAGCCTGAGTCGGCTTTAACTGAGGATGAAGTATGGGGAGAATATGATGACCTCATTGACCATGTTCTCTCTCCTGAAACTGCGAGGGCTCGTTGTCCAGGTGATTCAGAGGCGGATGAGAAGTTTGAACTGGCCGCTATGGCAAGTAGAGCTCTTCAAGCTGAACTCAACGGACTCTCCGATCGCCAGGCGTTTTCCACAGCTGTTGAGAACCCGGCTGTAGCACTCACTCCGGCATCTCCAACTTCAAGCACCGGGTCTTTCCACCTGAGGCGATCCAAGATTGCCCCAACTCTACACTCGTCACTTGTGCCTTCTAGTCAACCCTCGTTTAGTGACATAATTGCCTGTTACCATAATGATGGAAGTGTAGAAAGCCTACATGGGGAGAACCAACATAATTTATCGACCCCATCCCTGTCCATTGAGCAGCAGTCCAGCTTCCTCACATCGCCTTCTTTGAATCCCTCACCAAGCTTCGAAACCTGTCGGCAACGAAATACAATTTTGTTTGATATCGCTGAGCGTGACCGGGAGGGACCGACAGCACAAACCAACATCAGATCGGGGTCACTCATGACTAGTCGATGGTTGTCCTTCGGAAGGGTTCTATTCAGCCCTGCACATAATCACATCAAAACCGGAGAGGAAGAGCGGATCCTAGTAGTGGATGGACTAGGAAACGATGACTGGTCGTTTTACTGTGCTTTGACATATCCTAATGCAGAAGTGTACAACCTGAACGATGCACCAACTCCGACAGCATCCAAACATCCAGACGCCTGGCAACCGCCATCAAACCACCACACTATCCACCATGCAAGCCTTGAGGATCGATTTCCATTTCCTAAAAGATACTTCGCAGTGACTGTTCTGCGCTTCCCCGCAGCATGCTCCGAATATGTTCAAGATAATATCATCTCAGAGTGCAAGCGTGTGCTGCGCCCCGGGGGCTACATGGAGATGAGTCTACTCGATCTCGACATGGTGAATATGGGGATCCGCACCCGAAAGGCTGTCAGAAATCTGAAGGAGAGGACCTACCTAACAGACCCCAGTATCAGCCTCAAGCCTTCAAGCGACAGCATACAACGCCTTCTGGGACGACACGGGTTCGACAATCTACGACGCTGTATGGTACGGATTCCAGTCGCAGGAATGATCGTGAGATCATCAGCCTCGTCCTCATCCACATCATCCTCGAATCCATCCACATTAGCGGTGACAGCCACCTCCTCAACCGCACTGTCACACCCCTCCAACTCATCGATAGGCGCCCAGGCAAAAGCCCATAGCAAATCATCCTCCAACGACACCGACCTATCCCTCGGCGATCTCCTTTCGGACCCATTCCCTTCCCCTTCCAACGACGAATCCATCCGGAAAATCGTCGCCAGAGTCGGTCGCTGGTGGTACACAAGGTGCTATGAGATACCCGTCCTAGCGAACGGCGACGCAGGCCTCAGCATCTGGTCCGATAAGAAGGTACTCCGCGAATGCCAGAAGCGAGGCACCGGGTTTCGGCTCTTAATCGCATATGCACAGAAGCCGAGCGAGAAACGCAGAACAGCAAGCGTTTAGACGGCAATTCTTGCCGCTCATGAAATTTCATGATAAATTACGACGAATTGACGATTTATGAATGAACTATTATATTCTCATTAATATTCTACGAACCGACATGACGGCGTTTCAGTTGTCACGAATATTACCGATAATTTACTACGCATACCGGCAACGGTCAGAGGAAGACAAAAACAGATTGTTATGATACCTTTCATTTTTTTTGTTTTATGTTCTGGTTTTATTTGAGACACAGATGATTTACGGGTTTCAAAGACTTTGTATGTGTGCATATTGTTCTTCTGTCTGAGGACTGTTTGTTCTGCTTGCATACCTGGAGGCTGTCTGAACACCTATGGTTAATTTGTTCGTCTAGCATCTTTACTTCCTTTTTTTTTTTTATAGCTTTCTTGATGAACGCAAAGTGTTCTGCGTTCCTGTTATTCGTTTGATGTAACGCCTCTTTTTACTTACTGAACTGCCTGGAGCAGGGATGGACATGATAATAATCTAACATTGTACAACGGGAGATTCGTTTTACCAAGTAAGCGTACAAGGATAACGTGCTAAACCATTCATACTATGAGAGAATACCTACACGGTAGACGCATGTACTATATAATCTCCATGTTGCTACTCCATGCTATTATTACTGAGACACCGGAAAAACAAATACAACACAATGACATGAACACGCATTTAGCGCCGAATCGACTGCGCAAAATATCTACAATCTCGCTGAACGTCATCAACATACACATAAAAGTAAGATAAAGGATGGAGCTACTCCTTTCCATACCTCTCTTTCTCCCAGAACCAATGGTATAAGCTCCTCCACTCGGTCGCTTCATCTTCCACATAATCTCCCACCAACTCTGCCGTCTCGTTTCCCTCCGGCAGGTCTAGTGTTGGGGAAACAGGGCCGCTAGAACTCATTTCGACAGCTACATTGCCCGCATTGTGATCAAGAACGCTGGCATCCGTATCCTTGACTTTCTCTGCGAGGTCGCGGGCACCTTCCCGGGCTGCTTCGGCCCATTCCTCAGCTTGCTGGCGGGCTCGCTCGATCAATTCATCCGCTGTAGGGTATCGTCTCAAGGCAATGAGGAGAAGATAGTAGCTCTGTACAATGATGGAGTATACTGCGTCCTTTGCGAGCATGGTGAACCCGTGGGAGAAGAAGCCTTTGAGTACTTCGCCTGGTAGACCTGCGTAGAGAGCTTGGATGCCTTCCGTACGGGCTACACTAACAACATTGGAAATGATGGGCGGTATCAATGACAGTCCATCGTCGGAGTCATCTTTCTCCCCATTATTGGTTGATGGGGTGACACTCGAGCCGGTAACTTGAGCTCGAGTCTTAGCCATGGAAACCGGATACGTGATTGATGACGCAGCCGACTTGCTGATAGCAGCTAACAGGAAGGTAGTAGCCGCGGACGGTTTTCCACGCTTGTCCCGTGGGAAAAGGCTATGCTTTAAGAACTCATTCAGGAAAAATGTAATGGACGGGTTCAGCGTAAGGATAAGTGAAGCCGAATAACCCGACCAGAAACCTTTGATACCCTTCTCGGCTCGAATACGAGCAGCAATATCCCTAGTGCTGGCTGAAGACTTCGAGGTCTGCTTCCGCGCCACAATATTGGCCAACGGTGTTGTGAACAGTTTCGCAAACGCGCCCGCTAAAACACCGACGGCTAGTTCGTCCAATATAGGTAGAACTACATGCTTCCCGCCTTTCCGGGAGGGACCATACCGCGCATTAATCCTCCGCTGTCTGAAGAATCCGTACGCTAGGAAGAACAAGAACGAGTCGGCCACGGTTTTGATCGTATCTTGGGCAAGACCGGTGTAAAAGCTTCCATGTCCCTCTTTGGCGTAGATCTTGCGTGCCGCGTCTAGAATGTCGGTGTATTCTTTCTCGTCTTCTTCATTACTGTCCTCCGTGTCTTTGTCCTGCCCTTCCGTCTTTTCGTCTTCACTCTCTCCTTTAGTTTTCGCTGTCTTTTTTGGGCTGCATTGGTTCTGTGTTTGCAGTCGGGCAATGATAAGACTCAGGGGGTACGTAGCGACATTCGATATAGCCGCTCCCACGGCACCAGCTACTGCATTTCCCAGAGCTGGAAGTGCTGGGCCACGGAGGGCGGCTGTTTTCCAGTCTTTGTTCGGTCGGGGTTCTTCGTATCGCTGGTAAAGGGAGTAGGTATCCTGTAGTCCAATCGGTGTTTAGAAAATGAGATCCCGTACGAAGTGAGCAACGCCAGTGTAAGCATACCAACTCAGGATTATATGACACTGCATACTCGGACATTTTGTCCAAGAAAAATTGCAGTGTAGGGTCTCAGTCCAGCTGGGGAAAGCTGTGATCGAAGTGGGGAATTATGCGGAGTAAATGTAAAGGTCGATAATAATGCTCAGGTCGCGGATTGTGGGATCAAAATTGAATACAGAGCAGCCGAGGATGGGCTCATATCGAATAGATATGAAGTAGAAATGGATCGAATCGTTATCATGCAATGTCCAGATGATTAGTATGTAGAGGTCTTCTCGTTAAGCATCGGCCGAGGTTCAAAACCTTGGATTGGCAATAACGTCATGCTCACGTGTGGCCCGTGCATGGAACGGTCGCGGCATGTGATCCTGGATGCAGCTGTGAATCTTCAATATTATCTTTGTCTACGAAATTTGAATTGAAAGTATATGTTACTAGGTAGTTTGATTGTTATTCCAATGAGTCTACATAAAAGTTCAACCCATTGCTCCCTCCAACCGAAACCGTACCAAGCCCGACAAAATACCATCCTTCAGGATAAAAAAGAAAACCGACCGTCCCAAAACCCCGTACCCAGTGATAATCATGACGCAGATTCCATGAAAAAGAAAATTGATTGAGAAACAAGTATCACACCGTAAAGCGCTCAGCACCTCCGTCCATTCGAGCCAGCGAGAATCGGTCGTGTGACGACAACCGCCATTACACGTCGGACGAGGAACAAAACAAAAAGAAATCGAGGGCGGGGCATTTAGCCACCGAAACCGTAGAGGGTGCGGCCCTGGCGCTTGAGGGCGTAGACCACGTCCAGCGAGGTGACGGTCTTACGCTTGGCGTGCTCGGTGTAGGTAACGGCATCACGAATGACAGACTCGAGGAAGGATTTAAGGACACCACGGGTCTCCTCATAGATCATGGCGGAGATACGCTTGACACCACCACGGCGAGCGAGACGACGGATGGCGGGCTTGGTGATACCCTGGATGTTGTCACGCAAGATCTTGCGGTGACGCTTGGCGCCACCCTTTCCGAGACCCTTACCACCTTTGCCGCCTAAAGGAAATGGAAGTCAGTAAGAGTTAACGACGGTCTGATGTAAGTAGGCTAGGGAGTGTCCATAGAAAGCCAGAGGGCGGATGGGATATTGGATGCAAGGCACTGTCTGCCTCAGGCCATCACATGACATCACGTGTCCCCAGGGGTGCATCATCAACTTGGATGCCGACGATGCTGAGAGTTTTCGACGACCAAAGGAAAAGGACAGGAAAGTACTTACGTCCTGACATGTTGTCTAAAGTTCAAGTAGGATGAAAAGAGATGGAAATCGATGAGATATAGATGGAAACGGTGGGTTGTAGGGCGATAGACGCGACGCGTTGCGGGCCGGTTGCTGAAATCAGAGGTTGCAAGAAGAAGGGGGAAAAGAGCGTCAGAAAAGGCTTGGTAAAGAGAGGGGCTGTAGCTTATATAGCTTTTCCGGGCGGGCGGCAAGGGAAAGGGTGATTTCGCCTGAGAATTTCCCACAGGGTTAATGACTAATCGCAGGAGGATGCCCTGGGACAGTCAAAAGCAATGCAGCGTGTTGATTGGCGGGTAGCGGGGGTGAAAAAGGGCGTTATGAACGACCGCTTTCAAGCCCGTGTTTTTGGGCGTTCGTTGTTGGCGCATCACCCGCTGGAACGTGGACCCCGAGGGGGGCGGGTCCCCAGGTCACGTGAGTTTGACATCGGATATCTCAACCTCTTTGTCGAAGGCTTCCTACACTCCTGATTCTCTACAAAGAGCAAGACAAAGCAATAATTGTATATCTGCAATATCCGGATAAATACTTGAAATTTCTGATCCAGCACACCTACCACTGGGCATCCTGGGGATGAACAAGCCCAAGTGTTCATTCATACCTTACATTCTTCTTGCGGGTCGCTTACATACCTAGTTGAGTGAGGACGCGCCACGACCAGCAGTGACCGAACCATGTGTACGACTTTTGAATCCGAAAGTTCAACTGACTCGTCATGTTACGTTGGATTAACCCAGTTACACCAGCTGTAGAGTCAGAGATCGTCGAGAATTGGTAGCTCAAGTCAAAACCACTAACTTAATTGTAAACCTGTATTGTATCTGTCATACATCCTCCCGCTATCATACCAAGACGCCTTTAGAGAGAGGAAAGGAAAAGAAACTCGGGAGGGGAGTTGGACTCAAATGTGCGATCGAACTCCGTACAACGCTCAAGTCGAATAATGATAATTAACAACATGCTGAATGCAATCGACTTCTTTTAACGACATCCTAGTCCGGATGCCGTATCATAAAAAACGCTCTCAATGAATGCTGCCGACCAACAAATAGATTACTAGAGAAACATAACTTCATGATCATGAAAAGGACAGAATAAGAGAAGGATAAAAGCAAAGAAAAGAAAACAACTAACACCCGGGCGAGAGCATACAGATCGATGTACCAACGCCATGTAACCATGACTTTTATGCCCCTTCAGCGGAAGAAAGGAAACGCAAGAAGTGAGGACCCGCGGTTTATTACCATCGCAAAGGCCATACTTCGAGCTTCAACACCACGAGAGAGGCACAATTATAACAAAGAAAAAAGAGGTATCACAAAAGTAACATTAAGGGTTGCAATAGAAATGGCACGTCGCATACTGCACGATACATCGTACGAATAAACATCGGAGAGAAAATGATCAATCATTGTCGTATCTGACGAGCGGACGCAGTATGTTGTTGGATAGTAGTAGATGTTATTTAGATGACGAAACGCCCAACTCGTCAGACGTGTAAGGCGGAATATAATTCGTCATTAGGGTGCAGGTTCGTTCATCCGTGAATAACTGCCGGTCTGTGTGTTTCCTTGAGGAAACTGCTCTGCATGGATTCGATATATGGATAGCTGTGTGGAGTGGGTGAAGAATTTCGGGAGTTGCTACCAGTAGCTGTGTCCATCTTGGGCGACGATGTTGGTGAGGATTGAGAAGAAGACGTTTGCGTGCTATGAGGGGAAGACTTATCCAAGCTTGGTATGGGACGAGTGTTGTGGGAAGGGCTCGAGGAACCGAAGAAACAATATCGGTCGACAAGCTCCTTATACACCGAGGATTCTCGATGAGGCTTGCTTGACAATAAGGAGGACGGTTTCGATGGTTCGGCCTGAGGTTGGGTTCTTGACTGTGAAAAACTATCGCCCAGAGGCCGGTCGACAATCGTCCCTCTTCCCTTGACAGGGCTGTACTTCCCGCCCCCTGGTGGAGAGACTTCAGACTTTGCCCGAGCAGTGAGCGTGGTCCGGTCGTGCGCTGACTTAGTGCGCATAGCAGCATTCAAAGATGCTTCGAAGTCATAACGACTACCAAATATCTGGGAAGACTGCTTGTCACGACGCACGGGAGCCACCGCATCGTCATCATGTGATTTAACTCCATATGGAGGCCGATCGTTAGCACCTCGGGTCTTGCGGTCAAATGAAAGATAGTCGTTCATACTCGAAAAGTCATCGAAGGATGGGGCCTTTCCTTGATTGTTGGCGCTAGAGCCGGCGAAGGTCTTACTCCGAGGAAGAGGAGCGCGAGATACTGCGATCGGCTTGACAGGTAGACTATGAGTGTCCGACTTCGATGTAGGAATCCTAAGGAAGGTAATCTGATAATTCATTGCCCGGTTGTTATCCCAGAATTCCTGTCCATTGACATAATAACGAACGCAAAGGAACATGGTCTTCTTTTCTAGATTTGCCTGCTCGTCCAGCTTGATACTGAAGCAGAATCGGTCGTATCCATCATTAATCTGCTTACGGCGAACGTCGTCACTGTATTCAGCAATAACTTCAGAGATCGTCTTCCAATGATCGAATGTGAAACGAGCTGCGACATGTTTGTGGAAGGCTAGATTAGCGACCGCCACCACACCAACCAAGGTGTTCTTGTCCGACGACAAAAACAAACGTTCAAGCCGAACTCGTTGATGCACTCGGGTTGAGACATCCCTTGGAAAATTTGGGAGTCTAATATCCCATTCATAGGAAGACATGTCCGACTGATCCTTGTTAAACGGAAAACCTCCTTCAGATTCGTAGTCGTCTACTGGAGATGCACCGGCACTCACAGCCTGGGGCTTATCCAACTGCAAAAAGTGGCGAATGTGCTCTAGCTGAGCATCAAAGTGCACGGCCTTGGCATATGTTGGCGTCCCAGGCATGCTCGACGGGCGCCGTCGCGCAGAAGGCGGACGGAGAGCCGGTCTAACGAGCTCCCCTGACTTCTTACGCACCATGGGTCGTTTCGTCCTTAAGTCGTTATCTCCATCGCTCTCATCGGGAGAGCTCGTCACTGCCTCCTCTTGCTTTAGGGCGATGGTGTGCTCTGTGATTGAGCGTGAATGGGAGATCTTGCGTGCTTCCTTAGAGAGAGGTGGATGAGGTTTCTTAGTATGATTAGTTAGTTGCGCTACGCTGGATGACGGTTTCCTCTCTTGGGTTTCTCGCTCTGGAGAAGAAACGCGCCTCTGCTCGATAGACCTCACAGCTACCTCCAACTCCTGCAGGCGAAGCCCCTCCCTGTGAACGTCATTGGATTCTTCATCACTAGAGTTTGGGGCAGATTCCGGAGGAGAGATCATCGCCCCAGGAGGGATAAGAGCATCACTTCGTGGAGGAGGCGATTGCCTGATGGTAGCATGAGAATCTATTGTCTGCTTGGACTTCCGCACATTCTCTGGGGCTGGGAAAGTGAACGATTTGCTGGTTGATGGGCTTCTGCGGTGTCTGCGTACATAAGCTGTCGAAGAGTAAGACCGAGACAGGCGTGGTCGTCCCGCCAGCGGGTCAACCAAGGTAGGTGACGTGGGACAAGACTGAGACTCTGGCTCAAGGTTCTCAATATGTTGCGCGAAAGGCGACGATTTGAGCGGCGCAGTGTATGGCATCCGGCCGGATTTGTGCGATCAAACACAAGAAGCGATATGATAGAGCAACAGGGATACTTTTGCTTCTCTTAAGGTTGTAGATATTAAGAGACGAGGATCTTATACAAGCTGGCCCCGTCAATACGATCTTTTGGATGAGTTAGCACAGTGTGTTGTAGTGGACAGCAATGCTGAAGCATGAGGTTGAAGTTGAGCACAAGGGTGGCGACAGATTAACATATAGTCAAGTCGTACAGGGACAGTGAATTGAAATCGAGGAAGAACTGTTGTGTTCAAGACAGATCGGCACACGACCTGGAGAGAAATTGCGAAAGAAATGGTGAATAAGAAATCACAAGAAGGAGCGTTGGACATCAGTTCCGTACTCGGGGAAATGGAGGCAAAGGCGAGCGTATCACAACACCCCATCCCTTCCTGTGGTGATACAAAAGGACTCGCAAAGAACGGGATTCGAGGAAATCACCGACGTAACAATCGCTGTGGCATGACAAGGGGAATGGCGCGATAGAAGGAGATTGCATCACGATTCGATGAACAGATGTGCACATACCTTGAAAGCTCGACATCTAGTGTGATGAAACAGTAAAAAAAAAAAGAAAAAGAAAAAGTAAGATAATACCAGTGAAGCAATCGCGTTTCAAATTGTAAGAAAAGAAGAGGGGAAACAAGAATGAGATGGGGGAATTAATAAGACTCAACCCCGACGTTGAAAGAGAAAGATGGATGATCAATCATGGAGGGAGAAAGGAAATATATGGGAGATGTGGAGATGATGATGAGAGAGGAGAATGGGGACCGGAGATGGAGCCGCAGTACACAATATATCAAGGCAATGAGATGATCGTTGATAAGAAACCTAATGACCGGAGAATTTTGGATTTTTTGACTTGCTACTGTTCCTAATAGTCAAGAGGGGCGAAAACGAAATTAAGTTGAGACAGACGCGGAGGGCTTTTTCTTTTTTCTTTTTTTTTTCTTTCCCACTGTCGAGTTAATCTTCCATGGCGATTTCTTTTCTTCTATGTTTAGTGGTTTTTTAAATTTTTCAATTTTTTATCATCAACCCCTTGATGGCAAAAACGATATTCAATCGGTTACTCAAGCAATCCACTTTTTAGTACTCTTTTTTTTTCCTTTTTCTTTTTTTCGTTTTTAGTGTTATTTTTACTTTTCCACCGTGACCGTTACTATACATGGTGATAAGTTCGTAGCCTAAGGCTAAAGGGTTGCCGCCGTACCCGGAAACCGGCCAAAACCAATGGATAACGACAGGACGAGGAGGTGGTATTAGCGGTAATACACCAACTTAAAATAGGCGATCGAACGGTCTGGGACAGTGGGACGATCCCCCAACAGACCAGTCAGTGCGTTCCGACCCAGTGGGTCGAAGGGTGAGCTCCAGGTAAATGGAGGGTACCGGACGGTCAGGTTATAGTTCCAGATTCTCACGACATTTGATTTGCCCCCCACGATCTCCCATCGGCCAGACCGCCGTCCAATATTCCTTTAGTCACAGTTTCATGGTGGCTTGCTCTGTGGCAAATCTTAAGGGATCTAATCGGAAGTATATCTACTTCATATATTTTATAAAATTTATACACCCGCCCGCTGAATGATTTGAGAATTCTTTTACCCGTCATCCCCGATATCGCATTGTCTTTCCCATGGGTGGCATATCGCAAAATCCTTGCGATCGGGTGCCGTATGTGTTGATGATGCATGTCGGTTTATCTGTCAGTATGTGCATGGTTGTCAATGGGAAGGGCAGGTGATCTTCAAGGCTGCATCTCCGGAATGAACAGGGCCTTCTCAATGGCGGAGAGTGGATATGTGTGTATGCATCTCCATTATGCAGGTATATTTACATACGATGAGTAGTACTTAGCACCCTGACAAGATCCATCGGTCTGCATGTCTCCGAGGAGGTCGGACGTCCACTAGCGTCACTGCCCAGGAATGTCCTAAATCAAGGAATACGTGTCTCCCTGCAGGTCTAGTTTGTAAATGATGTCGCGATACGTATCCGACTCACCTGGTTGAATTCTTAATCTTCTTCGATTGTACATCATAATGGAAGGGTATTTTTTCGCTCTTCTTCCCTGATCTCGGGATCCCCCTAACTTAGGGTGGGGTTCACTCTGATCTAATACATGTTCCATTGATAAGGGATACGGGCAGGTAGGAAATATTACCACTCTTGGAAATGCTGTCTTGCTGTTTGCGACAGTGGCGGATCAATTTCTGGTTGGGACCAAAGTAATTAGCAGTATATGGGGCCTGACGTGCAATACATTTTACCCTCGATTTTAGTCACCGCACCCTAAAGTAAGTCAGTGTCCTATCAGTTCTCCACCCCCCCCTCTTTAGCCTGCATTCTCCAGAACCCAATTTAGCGCCGGTATCGTTATCAGGAGCGACCAATGAAACCTGCGCATGCTCACTCGCGATGGCCCTCAACGGTCTAGATAGAGTCGATGGTCTGAGGCTAGGAGAATATTGTTACTTTGCTTATATTAGGACTGTGATTGCTCCCCTTGCTTTGACACACTAGTCACTACTAGTCGTCTAGAGATATGCCCCCCATGAATGTTATGCAGATGCAGTCTCGAATCTCCTGACGTACAGCATGCGAACCAATTAACTGTCGTGCACTCTAGTAATGGTAAGATTGAACTCCTTCCCCCTTTGCGACGCTCGGTGTGGTACTTTTGGTCTAAGTGCCATCATTACACCTCAATCTGACGGGAAGGACTGAATCAGTCCTCCTTGATAACCACTCAATTAAGGTACATAACGTAGTCGACTAATTCATGTTCATTCTTGGAACCTTGATACTACTCTTGACAAAATCCACTAAGAGACTAGCGCCGTCCTCCCAACAAGTTATTTCCTTGGAACGTGCAATCATGACATCAGATGTTCTTTCCCAAGGATTTGATTCCGAGCTCAAGTCCCTCTCCCTTTGTATTTCTTTTTCTCCTCTTTTACTTTTCCCTTTTCTCAACTACTTTCGACTGACGTCCGTGCATGCACTGTACACAAGAAAATTTTCTTCCTGAACGAGCCACCGGGCCCCACGCGGTCCGGTCTTGGCATGACTCCCGGATAGGCATTTTACTGGTCGGAAGGGTCCCTAATTGCCGTTCACGGCATATACTGTAGACGGGAACTGCTGACACACAATCGGGTGATTTGGCCTTCTGTCGTACAGCATAAGTATTTTCCATTGATGCTGATAGGAAGCTAAGTCTTCTTACTCATGTAAATAGTACTCTGGATGGAGAGGAAGTATACAACCAAAATTTCGGGTATGCCTGGGAAGGAATTTGTTCGCCAATTTCTTTGTCTAAAATTTTTTATATCCACTGCCTTATCATTCGGTCTGTGTAACGTTGGATGCATGCACCCTCTCAGTACCCACTTTCAAGTTTTCCATCTAGACCTTTGCCCCAGTCCATTGGCATCCCAAGGTACCTACTATCAACTCCGGTATATAGCTTCGCTAACCCCTGGGCCTACATGGGTCGCGACCTAAAATCTCATCCCAAGCTCACTATGCGCCGTCTGTGCACATAAATTTTAAATTATTTTCTTTCTATTTTCATAGTAACTAATGTTTCATGGCAATAGATGAATCCTATAGCCCAGGTTTCACAGCAGTGCTTCTTACCAGCCTTTGCGAAGATGGTCGAATTTTAATTGTCACTGGCGTCGCGGATATCTCGAGTAATTAATATATATTCAAACCCTATCAATAATAGTTTTATAGGTGTCGGGAAAATATTCTAGTCAGGTTAGGTAACATTGCTCTCCGACTCGGCAGCGGATTGGCCCTTAAGACTCAGGTTTCCTTCCGAACCCCCCGATACCGATCGTCTGCACAATTAACAGTGATATTATTGCAGACGAGGGAAGGTAGTAGGGAGTGTGACTATGATGGTATTCATGATCGACTCGCTTATCTAAACTATGAAAGACCTGCTCGAAATCCAGTACACTTTTGACCGTCTATCGCGCAAACTGGGGAAATTCAAACAAGTTCCCTTGACTGGATACACCGCCAGCCAAAGAAAAATTACATAAATAAATAATAATAATAATAACAACTTTACACAATATCACATCGCATGAAATTTAGTTTTTCGTGTACTTCTCCTTTGAAAATCAGACTCTGTGAAGTCGAATAAGTCTGAACATCCACGTTCGATCAACACCCAAGACTACGGCCGACATCCCTGTCGTTCAAAGCGCTACTGACCGGCCCCAATTCTAGTCTACTTTGACCTCTAACAAGTAATCCTAGTACCTACGCCGTACGACTCACTAGTGCGTACGGCGTCTCCATGCGGTCCGTCACCGGAGACTTGGGGCCCGAGCGGGTAATCGGCGACGATTAATCAAAATTTCGCACGCTCGCCCTTTGATCGACAGATACGGGTGTGTTCGAGACCCGTCTTTCCGGAAGCCTGTCTCCCGTATTGCCCAAAAATTATATGGGCCGTTAGAGTTTTCTTGTCTGTTGCCATCACCAACTGCTTAAAAAACCCGAGCGCGGCGGTGAGAATTATTTTGACGTGATGCGCACGTCCTTCCTGGAGATTTTCAACCATACTCCTGCTTGTTCAACTTGACAGCCTTAAGATCATGTCGGAAGCACGCGATCGCATTTTTTGCTACTTAGTCCTTAGTGGTAAGCACTTTACGGATGGGTCAATGTATGTAGAGTCAATCCCCCACGCATTGAGCGGAGGGGTTTCTAGTCCTGTCGGGACGGCGATAGGTCCCGAACCTAAGGTGGAGCGCTCTCTCATGCTTGGGTCAAAAAGCCCCGTGGGGATTGTTGATAAGGAATTTACTGCGCCGAGTGTGCTGACAAACCTCCTTATCACTTAACTCGATATCAAATTGACTTGACTCTCAACGATGAAGCATTTACAAAGTGGACCATAAGAATAACCTTCCGATCGTTGCTCCCAAGAATTTCTAGACAAGCGATGGCTTCAGTGTGGCATTGACCTTTTGTGACAGCACTTTCCCTGATCCGAATACAGCACTTTCTATACAGTTCGCAATCAAAATGGTCTCGATCGGTCTTGACTTTGTTATGAGAGTTGCGACCATTCATGCGGAGATGCATTGGCTTCGAGGGGAAGCTATCTGTCAACGTCCTTAGTGTCTAACCTTGTTAAAAGAAAAGGTCTGCAATAGGGGAAGTCCCTGACTGTTCACAATGCCTGTCATTGAACAGGGAGCGCAATATCCATGAGGGGGAAATAGCGCATCTCTTCACCTGAAAAGCCCGTGTTGTTGAAAAGTGTGTCTAAAAAGTAAACGAAAGAGGAGAATCTACTAATGTATACCTTAGGGGTCAGACGTCCGTGCAAGCTCGCCAGTCAACCAACCATCGGCCACGGTACCCAGAGCTGGCGTAACGGCCCCATTTAGTGAAGTTAAAGCTTGCTCAAAAGTGCGGCCCCAAGTACACTAAAACCTAGTACGAGTACGTATGTCTACGCATAGACAGCGCTAGGGTCTCAGACAGGCGCCAAAGACTTAGCACCCGAGTTTACCTCGTAGACATCTACGGCTATCCGTGTCGGGTTCTGAACCCGTAGCTCGCTTTCGCCTATTGAAACAATAACGTCGGCCATCTGGTTTCCGAAGGTCACCATAGGAGCAAGCAGCATCGTACATACTAAGTAACCCAGTCTTGGTTGACATGCTTGAAGTACTATGAAGCTATAGCGGCGGGGCCCACCAGGAATCGCCTATCAATGTATCATGCATCTTGAATTTCTGATAATGTAACCCTAGCTAATTAACCAGCCACATTGAACAAATTCATACTCATAGCAAGACTTTCATCCCAATAGCAATTCTTACTACATATTCAGTTAAAAACAAACAAACACCGCCCAGACCGCAACATCTCACATGAACTCTTATCTTCAGACCATCTCCTCACTCCCCGCCCAAGAGACAGCGCGGTCCCCCGATTCCTATTAGCCCGGATCCCCAAAGGCCGTGCCTGCCACTGGACCGGGGGTAGCTCGCACGGACGTTATCTGACTTGGGGTCAAAAGTGACTACGGTGAGCAAGGTAGGTGTATGTACGTGGGCAGAACACCTGATGAGACACCGGGGATCCGAGCGTTGAAATCCCCTCTCCATCTTATTCCCCCCTGGTGTACGTTCCCCCTCTTTTCAATGTATGCGATTCAATATCGACATTATCACGAATATTTTGCACCTCTATACCTCAGTGTGTCAGAGTTCCTCCTAATAAGCAGCGCACCACACACGTATGCACCAAATACATCCGAATCACCAATTCCAAATCCCCTCACCAGTCCGGCTCCCTGAAACTACTAGGAGGTATCACAAACACAGCCACGTGAGGTAACATCTTACATACATGCTCACCTTCATCGTGACTATCATCATCATTACTATCGCTGTAGCCTACAACACACCACAGAACTGAGTAAGCTCAAGTCGAGACTGCCAACTCATCAGTCCAGTCCCCGCTTTCGGAAGCTTTGTCCTTTCCCCTAGGTATGTACCCCATACCCCCGTATCCGTCGGTTACCGGTTAGTGCGAAACTCCTCTTTTTTTTTTTTTTTTTTTCTTTATGCTCTGCAGCATCTGGGTGGAGAATGGTTGTTTAGGAAAGTCTCTACGATAGGTTGGTTGGCTTGCGGGGTAGATAAACTGATGTTGAAGAGTTGCAGATGTAGGTTTCGGTGGGGTTTGATTTATATGTTTGTCTTTGATCTGATGTTGTGGAGTGGCTATGATAGGAGAACTTGTTGGTTCTGGACTTCTTGGGTAGACACATTTCTATGGTGTGCTCTCGGGAATACGAGGTATCTTTGTGTGGATAGTCTCAAACCTTGGAACATAGTTTTCTCGCGCGCTTGATGAACCAACGGTCTGATCCTATTAGCTTTCGCTTAAGATTTACTTTTTACGGAGCATTGACTTTACTCGTAGAAACTTGAAGCTCTACGAAGCCATAGCGGTTAAACACTTTGTCGGATCCGAGATATCGCCATCGGAATGGATAGAGGCAATTCTCTTGAGGAGATAATGTTGGCAAGGTCGCGCGCTACCTGGATGCTCAACCATGGGCATGGGCATTCGTTCTATTGTTTCGGGCTGTATCCATACTTGACAAGGGCAATTCCTAAACAGTCACATAGTTCATCGCTCTTATTGTGCTCTTCAGAATCCAAGAATAACAATCATATATCCAATAGGTTCTTTAATCGCTGACCGAGCTTTGCCTGTAATACCCCTTCAAATGACTTCGAGATCGAACTCTACAATGAACCCTTCCACCGAGAGACTGCGAGACGTTATGTTGTCCAGCTCGGTTTCGAAGCGACCATCCGTACATTTGCATCAGTGTGCTCACTCTGGGGCCATCACTGTTAACATGGAAGTATCTCTGGTACTTTTCTACTTGCAGCACACAGAATCGAACGGTTGATGATAATATAAGCAATTGCATCCGTTCCAGCATCGATTGAGTCCTGTGTCATCGGATTCCTTTTTGTTTCAGATACAGAAGGACGATTTATCATCCTTACGAGAGAGCCAACCTAGATATGAATCGTCTGCTTTCTTTTGCAATTCGAGATTCGCAGCTGTGAGTAAGGCTCAAAGCTTGCCAATACAGGTTTTGCAGACTAACGTTACGCAACGTCTAGCAGTGACTCTTCCAGTCGAAGCACGTACGAAGGCAACCTATTCTATTATCTGAAAAAATGAGATCCTCGTCTTCTTTCCATGTTTATAAATGAGTAACTACGCCCATTCCATGTCAATGATAATGTGGACTGGTGCTGAGCGATTAGGGGGAGTCTGGGTGATATCCTCCAAAATGGTCGTTGTTCTTTGTTTCACCATTGGAATTTGGCTGTTCAGTCTGTTTTTAAACTAACCAATGGTGTAGTAGCCAACCCGGCGAAAATATCCCCAACGGAGTGAGTCGTGTCTCAGTTAAAATATGTCGCGCTGTGTTCACTTCTGAAGTGGTTGGTATGAGTTCTGCCTTGGCTCACTTGCAATTTTCCAGGCTGTTGCACGAACATTACTGTTCCTGAAGGTTTCACCAATTTCTGCGTATTTTGTTCTCCTTGCCTTCAATCTGCAAATTTTCTTTTGTGGTTCTCGGTTAATAAACTTCATCCCGTCAAAGCCATGTCTTTACCCCTTGCGTGATCAAGACTGTTGAGGATCCTCCCAAATGGTGTCTCGCGCCCGCTACCGCCAATTAACGTTTCTCTCGGCATCTCTAATAGTATGTCTGGGCCTCTTGGCCTTTTCTAATCGTCATCGCCATGTGCCAGTTGTGGCCTCGTTGAAAGAGCGATACCCTTTGCTTTGGAAACACGTGCCTACTTTCGGACATGGCGGAGGAAAGTGATACATTACACATTCCATACACTGGTTTTCGTTCCACCAAAGGATGATTTCGTCTTATGTGCTTTTGTTAACAGTCACTGAATCGATATATATTAGTGTGGTCTATCCCGGCGAATTGAGTGCAGCCAAATCCCGACCCTCAAACTATAATCGAAGCCGCGCAGTTAGCAACCCAAGCGACTGAATCTGGCGAAGCACGCTGTGCAGTGCCACATTCACTAATCCCCTTAATCATCCATCAGACATGGGGTCACCGGCGAATTGATACTTGGCCAGAAGACTCTCGGCAAAGTGTCGAAAGATGGCTGCAATTCGTGGTCGAGGATGGAATGGCATATTTTCTTTGGGAAGATGAGGGCATGGTAGACTTTATCGATCACTTCGCGCCTGAGTCCCATGAGCATTATGCATCGCTGCCATCGATGGTTGAGAAAACAGACTACTTTCGTATCCTAGTCGCTACACTTGTTGGCGGGATCGTAAGTCCTAATACATACGTGCCGGCTCAATCCCCTCCGAATTAAGACTGACCAGCTGTTAGTATGGAGATCTCGATACCGTGCCACTCAAGTCACCTGCCCAGTGGATCACTTCACAGGATATTCTGCCATGGACAGACCTTGAGACTAGGTCCGTCTATAAATCTACGAAGCCTGTTCGGGCAATTTTCAGCATCGAAGCAGATTGTCTGCCCACTGATCACACATGCTGGCGCATGGGCTATCCGGATTCGATCCAGCTGACTCAGTGGTCGTTCGCCTCGACACGAGACCATCCTCTCCTACACAGATACCTCGAGAATCTCGCTCACCAATTACAGACAATTGCAAATCAATACGGCGGACTACAAACGTCAGCCGCTCGTACTGAGCTACAGGCCCTTGATCCTTTGACTTTGACGGGTCCGGAGGCCTTGACTTACGCTGTTAAGGAATGGCTCAATGTCTCGGCTAGATTTAGGTGGAATGCGCTGACTGGCCTGCAAGATGGAGGGAAGGCCAAGCTAGTCGACGATGTATTGATCCTCCCTATTACTAGTTTTAGGTGAGTCCTTATTAGAGAAAAAGGTCAACGAGATATCGATTAACAAAACATTTATAGTCCCGGTAGAGGAAGGTACGGAAACATGGGCTCTAAGCCCATCACAGATCCCACAGCATTAGTGCACCATCGCGGCCAAGGGTCATGGAAGAAGTTCAGCCTTGTCGCCGAGGTTGGTAAAATTTGTCGCACGATGCTCGGACTTTGTGAAGGTTGGTCGAAGATGTAGAGCTCAACCTGAGACAGGGCTTCCATCTTTGTTTTGTTCTCCCTCCTTTTCCTTGTCAGGGGGTTCTGGCCCATGGAATCGCCTTGATCAATTTGATACATTTTAGTAATTCTTACCTTGTCACATAATCCGTATAGTTCTAGCGGCTATACAAGGCCGAACAAGTGGCCTCTATTTGTATGGTTTACTGAATAATATAATACTAGTACGTATAGCAGGATAATCTAATCATAGTTCAGAGGCAAGATTCTGGGATCTTCCCATTTCCCACCTGGGAGGAGTATACAAACAAAGAGCTTTTCGATGGGCTCAGTCCTCTGAAGTTATAAACTGTTCGACAGTGCCGACCTGAATCGACTCTCCTTTTTTCAGATAGCTTTCTAACGGTATATACCTAGACCGTGAGGCTTGCATGATATTCCATGTTTTGTTAACCCAAAATAAGTAAGATCTTCCTGATCACGTACATGGCTCTATTGCTAGCGTACATCTTGAAAGCAGAATGCGTATAATATAGTAAAAGAAGTAGCTGTTCGATATCAGGAATATCTCGCATAAAAGATCGTGTCTTGGCCAAGCCACATGGCCATCTGATTATGATTGGATGATACATTACATCGATCGTTGCCTTAGATTCTTAGCCCCCACCATTGGACGCCTGAAGGATAGCATCACAGCCACCGTCCATAACATCAAACAAACTCCACAAAGATAGATACCCACGCCGGACCATTTCCTTTACCCAGCAACTAGGACATCTCCAATCTCAACCCCCAAATCACATCACATGAGGTAGAACACAACACCCGCCCTCCCCACCTTCGCGTTCTCATACTTGGCATACTAACACGGCCTCGAATCAGCAGCACAAACCTCTAGATTAGATACATCACACGCAGACCTGGCCGCGTAAAGGCCACGCTAAAATGCTAAACTGGCTGAAGACACTATTTATCCATAAAGAAGAATCGACCGCCCACTCGCGAAGAAGTAGGAGGGCAAGGAAACGTGCGAGTAAGGCGCGGGCGAAACGACGCTTTGAGCTAGAAGAGGAACTCAGAAGGAGGAGGATGGGAGACGGAAAGGTTCCCTTCTTTATGGGCTCTGTGATACCTGTTTTGTGGGGTACGCCGGGGCAGAGTGTTGAGAAGCAGCATGATCGGAATACTGTTGTGAGGTAGGATTGGGCCCTACTAAGTTTCTATACTTGGGGCCTTGAACCTTGATAAGGGTGTCGAGTCTAGGGTTTATAGCGATATCTTGAGAATTTGGATAATGGTGATGGGTATAAATGAAACTGTCATGCTATAATTTGTTTTTGTGGTGGGGGGGCGGCTGCTCAATATATTGACAAGGAGCACGATATTCAGAAGACAGGATAGAAGTTACTGAGAACCGTAGGATAGCGGTCTCACGGCGGCTTCGTTTACAAACAATTGGTTATTTGCACTATTAACTATATATAGCCTGGTCCGTGACTCTGCCAATGAGTCTTGTCATAATGCTTGCTACTATTTCACTGTAATGCCGCCTCCAAATACGCAGGAAAGGTTATGGTGGGAATTGGTCTATTCGACCAATCTGCGAACCAAAAATTATAAAATATAATATGTACACACCCTCTTTAACGTTTAGCCCTGAGAGTTCCAATTGAATACCCATCACTCGCGCTCGACACTCCAAAGGTGGGTTCCAGAACCGGGCCATAACAGTTTCAGACACCTGATACCAGTCAAGGTGCTGAGTATCTAGGGCTTGCAATAAATGTAGACCAGGTAATCTTTGAAGAATACCAGAATTTCCGGAGTCCGTAAGTTCTCGATAGCAAGATGCTCCAGCTGGCATGTAGTGCTCCATTGAATCCGAAGACCTTACATAGTAAATTTATTTGAAATACGACATTTTAGCATCATCAGCCCGTTCTCCGTTATTGACTGTATGTAGTGTGCAAACAAATTGGGGATGAGCTTTGATCTAGTTTATCAGAAATCTCATTGTGACGGCAGCCTACGGGCCTACAAGTGCTGTGAGCTACGCTTTGTTAAATAACCTTCATATGGTTGATATTAATGGAGAGGATTTATAGCTTGAACTAACCAAGAGTGACACTGTGCTGTTGGAGAAGATTGTTCTTTCAGGCATGTTGGGCAATCCATACCCTCGAGGTTAGCACGCATGATCATTGTCAGCAGACCTCCAGGCTGGACTGTGTAGAGGGATGTGATGACTGCACGCCCAAAGCTTCCACTGGAGATGAAGTAGTGAAGCACTTTATGCCAGCGATGACACCCTCTTAATCCCCTTGGCGGCTTTTGCTGTGCAAATTTCACAGGTGATTCAACACTCATGAGTGCTCCGAGCGCAGAATCCAGAAAAAGCGCATTTCCAGGACACGGTATTCCAACAGCACGCCACAAGGTGGCTGGGCCTGGTTAGTAAAGAGACGGTTACTCTGTGTATGTGTGAGCATGTCATTACTTTCCAGTTAATTGTACTGTATGCTAACCTGCAGGTGACCCTTCCTATAGGAAAGAGGGGAGCAAGATAACGATAGGCTGTTGTTCCTATTCTCAAGGCTCTTCCGAACGTGAAGCTAAGTGGAGCCACTAGTGGTCCATTTTTAACTCGAGCCGAAAAGGTCGATCCCGTGGGACAACCAGCCTTAAGACTAGTAACCCCAACCAAACCTCCGGCTGTTTACTCCGTCCCTCATACACTTCGCTTCCGTCGACGTTTGCTTCATCTCCCCATGTCAAATGAATCACCTACCGGGGGTCCTGGTTTAGGGGACCTTGAAAAGGAACTGATCTGCTCGGTATGTGTGTTCTAGCTATTTTTTTTTCTTTCCCTTTCTGTGGCTCGATTTTTGATTAGGCTGAAAAGCGTGGGGAGTCCCAGTCATCGCTCACTCGCTGTCATCAACATCCCTCGGTGCAGATCGGACATTCTAGAATTATGATGATAAAAAATAATGAAGATATAGTTGCTGTGTACTGTTGCTGACCGCCCATTATACTTAGATCTGCACAGAACTGCTCTACCAACCTCTCACCCTCCTCGACTGTCTCCATACTTTCTGTGGCTCTTGCCTGAAAGAATGGTTCTCCGTCCAAGCTTCGCGCCACCGGTCATCCTCCTCCGTCCGATTCACTTGCCCATCATGTCGCGCCGTCGTTCGCGAAACAAGGCCGAATGCCACAGTCACTACGTTGTTGGACATGGTGCTCACTGCGAACCCCAATCGTGCGAGGCCCGAGGCTGAGAAGGAGGAAATCGCGCAAAGATACAAACCTGGCCAACCCGTCTTTCCTACTGTTGCTTCACCTGAGAACAGCACTGCTGAGTCGGATGATGAGGACCGAAGGTTAATGGAGGAGGTCCGTGAACTGAGCCTGCGTGAGAGTGGACCGCGAACAAGGGAGCATCGGTCGGCACGATCATCGAGAACTCGTCGAGGTGAAAGTGCTGATGGGGATAGGCGAAGGGTAGACGGTCAATCCCGACAACAACGAGAAGAGGAACGCGCTGCGCGACGTCACGTTCGGAGCGCATTGCCCGGTGCTGCCGATCGCACGAGACAAATAGAACACCAATCGAGCCTTCGATCGTTGCTAAGCTTGTCGGATACCGAAACCATGCAAGAAGAGATCTTACGTCAAATCTTGGAAGAAGGGTTATTGGACGATATTGATATGGACAATCTCGGACCCGCGCAGGAAGAGGAGCTTAGTGAACGCATTGCCGATGCTTATAGACGGAGGCATAGACTGCGTTCGCGATCACAGCAGAGAAACGGTGCGCAGGAAGAGGCGCATGCATCAAATCGCCCTCGGGCACGGTCGCAATCGATGCAGAGATCGCAGCCCGCTTCTAGTGCTCGAGGTCCACAAGCACACCCTCCGGTATCAAGGCCATATTTACTCGAACCACTCGTGCCACGCTCCGGTACCTCTGGCCATCAGCGGCGCCTATCTGATCAAGGTAGCCGTCAAAGAGTATCGCCTATTCCTGTTAGCTCCGCTTCATCGTCAGAGGTCAATCTGAGGCCTGCAGCAAGGTCGTCTAGCGACATGATTGCCGACCGCCCTCGGGGCTCCCAGGCTGCTCGGGTCAGAGCAGCTGATTCAGCTCCACGGACACGTCGAGCGACAGCTTCTGAGCAATCTATTCCTAATATATGGGTGGCAGGTGGTAATGATAGGGAGGTACGGCGACAAAGACCAGCCAGACAGTCAATCGACTCTCCCACATCAGTTTCGTCATTGGTGCGAAGCCCTCGAACTGCTTCCTTCGCGTTGCGCTCGGAACAAAACCTTGCAAATTCGCCTACAGCTACTTCTCTCGCGCCTGAGACCAACAGTCCTGTCAGAGCAGAAGGACGCTCCCGGCCCTCATCCTCCAGATCTAATGTTTCTCAATCCACAACCTATTATATTGAACCATCTATCTCGTGCGATAGATGCGGAAAGCCGAATATCCAGTATGAACTTCACAAGAAATGCCGGTTATGCAAGGATGGTGACTACCATATTTGCCTGCGCTGCTACCGGCTTGGACGTGGCTGTCTAGACTGGCCTGGCTTTGGTGTATCTGCAAAGGCAGATCTTGACAGAATTCATGCTTCTTCTAACGGTCTTACCACGCCTTCACAAGAATCACAACATATCCTATTGTCTTTAAAGTATAATCGGCCGTCCGACACCGCCCGTCGAACCATACGAGATGGAAGAGAGGTTACCAATGAAAACCCCGCCCGACGATTACAAACCGGGCTCTTCTGCGACATATGTCAGTCGTCAGCAGATACGTGCTTCTGGAAATGCAACCAGTGCAACGAAGGCGACTGGGGTTTCTGCAACAAATGTGTCAATGAAGGCAAATGCTGTACGCATGCTCTTCTACCGATATGCCGTGTTACGCCAGATAGTCCCTTAACTCCCGCGACACCAGCCGTCCCTGGTGATGTAGCTAATGGTTCGGCTGCTCCTCTTGCCAGAGCTGAAACGCTGAAAGTGCTTTCCTTCTCCACGAATTGCGACATTTGCGCCAATCAAATTCCACCATCCACTCTGCGCTTCCACTGTCTCCAATGCAACGAGGGTGATTTTGATACTTGTGCGAACTGCTACCTTAAGCTGGTGGCGACAGCAAAAATCCGTAAAGAGAATGGCCATAACGGCTGGCGGCGCTGCTTGAAAGGTCATCGGATGGTGGTAGTTGGATTTGAAGATCATGAAGAGGGCCAGAAACGGGTCATCGTTCGTGACCTAGTGGGCGGCCGTGCGTTGAAAGACGAACACCTTCAGCCTTCCTCCCCTCCAGCCTCTCCACCCGTGACACGCACATTTGTGGCAGGTTCTGGTACTGTTCCATCCCCTGAACTCGGAACTGGGGACTGGAGTTGGAAAGAGGGAGCGGAGCGGCGAAAAAAAGCATCTCGCATCAGAGCCCCATGGTCTACCACCCTCGGCGACCGTACTAACTCATACTCTGAACCTTCCACGCCCACCACTCCCTCACAGAACGCAACATCGGCACGTCGCTTCCCGCCTGATGGCGGTGTTGGTCTCGTTGTTCACGCGCTATGGCCGTGGTATCCTGAGAATGGTGTCAAAGACGAGCTGATGTTTCCTCGTGGCGCGGAGATTACTGAGGCCGAAAATATCAATGATGATTGGTATTGGGGATGTTATGCTGGGTCTACTGGGTTGTTTCCAGGGACACATGTCTTTGTTGTTGGGGAGATTGCCTAATCCCTTGTAAACAACGTCCAATTACCTTGATGAAATCAATGACGACTTACGATTGATGTATACATAGATGATGACGTTGAGATGATCTGATGGACGGATGTACGTACTGCATCATTTTACAGAATATTAGTGGTGGACTTGTATTCGACTGCTGCCTGCATCATGGTATTATCAAATCACAAGTTGTCCAAGACTTAAAGTAGTAGTGGTAGATGCATGTAGGCAGATGCAGATGCACAGCCAGTCGACCTTCTAGAAATTCCCTGCAACTCGGCATGTGCCTTGTCTCCGCCTCAGCCCCACTAGTCCAGCCTTACTGCGCCACACTCGTACCTGCCTTTTGAAGTATGGATGACGAACGGGTCCGCTTGGCGTCATTGCCATATATAAACTCCCGCACTGTTCCTCTGTCGAATGCAGACAACCCCACCGCAATTATCGAAGCTTTGAACTCTTGATCATGTCGTACAACCCGCCTTATCCCCCACAAAATCGTATGTATCCTTGTCGCACCAATATAATCCCTTCGAGTCATAGTTAATTAGCTGACCGTCATCCTTTTCGTCTAAGCAGAACCCCCTTTTCCTACCCACGGTGCCCCTCAGGGTTTTCCACAACCTCCTTACCCTCAGCAGCCGGGCTATGGCGGCCCCCCTCCTCCAGGTCAATATAATCGGCCGCCTCCTGCACATCCAGGCCAGTATGATCGACCTCCAGTAGCACCCCCAGGCCAGCCAGGCTATCCTCCGCACGGACACCCCCCACCAGGCCCCGGATACCACTCATCACCTCCATCTCACTCTCCATATGGAGCGCCCCCACAACAGTTCCCTCCCCATGTCGGTGCAGGATATCCGCCAGGTCCTCAGCCGGGGCCTTATGGCGGTGGCCCAGTAGGAGGCTACCCATCGCAACATTTGCAGCAGCCATTCCACAGCGCTCCACCGGCCCAGCCATCCCCGGGCTACATCCCCGGCCAAATCGCCTCTGGTGATTTCACCCGCGAAGCCGATGGGCTCCGTAAGGCGATGAAGGGCTTTGGAACAGATGAAAAGTCACTCATCCAGATATTGTCGAAAGTCGATGCACTCCAGATGGCCGCCATTCGCCAGACCTATGCCAACTATATCCGTCGCGATCTATACAAGGATGTCAAATCTGAAACGAGTGGCTACTTCCGCGACGGCCTGCTTGCCGTCATTGATGGCCCGCTGATACACGACGTGACTTCCGCACGTGAAGCGGTTAAGGGAATCGGCACCAAGGAATGGTTGCTTAACGATGTCCTAGTGAGTCGGTCGAATGCGGATCTAAAAGCTATTAAAGCCGCATATGAACGCACATACAGCCGGTCTCTCGAGCAAGACGTCCAAAGTGATCTGTCATATGAAACACAGAATCTCTTCGGGATGATCCTTCGCGCAGACCGCCATGAAGAATCCTTCCCAATTGACCCGCGCACCATCGAGGAAGAAACAAAGTCCCTGCACTCTGCCACGGCTGCTCGTATGAGGAATAATGCTCAGGAAGTCTGCGGGATCTTCGCCCGGTCGTCGGACAACGAACTCCGCGCCATTAACCAGGCATTCAGCGCCCGCTACAATGCCTCGCTAGAGAAGCACATTGACAAGGAATTCTCGGGACATATGAAGGAAGCTCTGCTTCAGATGCTGCGTGGCGCATTGGATCCAGCCATGCGGGACGCCGAGTTATTGGAGGATTGCATGGCGGGCATGGGCACTAAGGATGTCAAATTGGTGAGCCGCGTTGTCAGGGTACACTGGAATAGAGCGCATAAAGACCAGGTGAAACGCGCTTATCGCCATCGGTATGGAAAGGATCTGATCGAGAGAGTTCGCGGTGAGACAAGCAGTGATTACCAGAGACTGATGGTTGCTCTACTGGAGTAGACCCTTTCGCTTTATGATTATATGAATTAATGGTATGCTGGGTACGGCAAAGGTCAGGCATGGGCTGGGTGGTTTTCTGTTTCTTTCGTATGCGTCAACTTTTGATCATCTTCTAAGAAGTGCAACTCTTGAGTGATACCACCAGATGCATGTTTTTAATATCTTAGGCGGCTTGCTCGGTTATCACTATGCTATAACTAGCTTACTGAGGTGTCTTCGGGTTCTTCGCGATGACAATGTATAAGTATTTTTGTTAAAGCTTTTTAGTCGAATTTTAGACATCTTAACTTCTTAATTGATGAAGTTACTAAGTAGCCCGAAGGCGGTCTTCTGCCTTTTTGGCTATGGAATCCACCTTATCCACCCGATACCTACGGCGATGGTCAAATTGGTGCTTCTAATTGGCATTCGCTTATTTCCCTTACGTCAAAAGCCCCATATTAACGCGCATATTTAAGCCTTAAGGGTTAGGGGAGAGAGACCAACATCCTCGGAACAGCCGCTGTGATTAATGATCTGGAAAATGAATATTATGACCCAATTTTGCAACGAAAATTGGTCTACGGCTCCTACAGAATTGGTGCCTAGTATCTACAGTCATCCCCTCTTCGGATTTTTATTTTTATTACGCCAGGAAATCTGAATATTTAATAGGATGGTAGTAATTTAATGAATACGTGAACAACACCTTGTGCACCTGACTATATCCTAACTCTATGTATAGATAGTCAACAATAGGATTACCAGATTCAAGCCAGTCTATTCTGAGAGGAATCCATAATAATCTTTACATACCCTAATACACAAGTACAATGTGTTGTAAATGCATGGTCATGCCTAACACTAACAACTTCCTATGTGGAGTACATGACTATATAAACCTAGTGGGTATGGAAAGCTACTCGGAATCGGACAGCATGCACGATCTAATCGGAGTTGAAATAAGATTACGCACTCGTTCTTTACTGAACACTAGCTTGAAATGCTGGACTCCAGTATCGGCTAGCTTCCGATAATTCCGAGCCGATCCATAAAAGATGAGTCATTATCAGATGGTGTGCAGGCTACGGCAAATGCTCTTGCCATATGTACGCCTTTCCCCCTTATACATCTTTGCACCTCCTGTACATCCATATACACGTACCATATAACACACATAATCTTCCGAGTGCCGTTGAAAATGACTCAAGATAAACCAGCCGTCGTCTGCGTCTTGTGAGTCAACCATTCCTACTCCTCGACGATCGACGATAGCCCCAATAATAGACAATGAAAAGCTCTAAGCCGAGTAAAGCTAACTAGTACCCTTCCCGGGAAAATTCAGCTGCGGCGCCACAGCAGGGAAAGACCCAGTACACCTGGAAGCAGCCCGGGCCCTAGCCTACGAATTCCACAAACATAATGTCCAATTGGTATACGGCGGCGGCACCTCAGGTCTAATGGGCGAGATCGCAAAGACATTAGTCTCTCTATCTGGCCCCAAAGCCGTTCACGGAATAATTCCCCGTGCCCTTGTCAAAATATCTGCGAAGAACAGCAAGGAAGCTCCCACAGCGGCGGCGGGAGGCAAAGCAGCCGAGCGAGTCGTCTCCGAAGCATTGGATGGAGATGAGATCCCCGAGTCGGAATACGGGATCACGACTATCGTGCCGGATATGCATACGCGTAAGCGGCTGATGGCGACGAAGGTAATGGAGGGCGGGCCTGGGTCTGGGTTTGTGACGCTGGCTGGTGGATTTGGAACGATTGAGGAGGTTATGGAGATGACGACGTGGAATCAGCTGGGGATCCATCGTGTTGGGGTCGTGTTGTTGAATATTAATGGTTATTGGGATGGGTTGCTGGCGTGGATGCGCAATGCCGTTGAGGAGGGGTTTATCAGTGGTGAGAATGGGTCCATTCTGGCTGAGGCGCTGGATGTAAAGGAGGTGTGGCCTAAGTTGTTGGAGTATCGGTGTAGCGAGGGTCAGTTAAAGTTGAATTGGGGCCAGGAATAAGCACATTTTATAGACATAGATATATGAATAGATACTAGTGTCATGGTCTTGTATACAGCGAGCTCTGTCGTATGTCCTCTCTTGACCTACGGCCTAGATTGGTCTGGCCGTCGGATGCGGTACCATCCTCTAGATCTCATGAATTGGAAGGCAGTCGCTCTTATACACTACTTAAAAGCGTAATACTGCCGCTTTGGTGACCCTTAACTAGCGAACTTAGTTATATTAGTGGTAATAATGGAGCTCTTGAATGGGAATAGGGCAGCAGAGCTAATTCCCCAAAGAGGCAATACCCGCGAAGCTATATAAGCTTAACCACCGGAGCTAAGGTATCCCCGCAATATGACACTGAGTTTCTATAAATATTCGATCATTTGTGAATCGAGCAATACTTCTCCAAAAACCGATGTTTCCGATTCAGATACGCCAATCCTCGGTTTTAAGGGATGTCTCAATACACCGCTACCGTTTTAGCATTCCTGGAGTTCAAGAAAAGATATATAAACCTGAGGTGACACCCTCACAGACCTTTCAATCTAACTACTAACTCCAACAAGCTTCTGAATAATATACAATTCACACTCACACAATCCCATAATGGCATCCAAAATCGTCCTAGTAACCGGTGCCAACAACGGCATCGGCTACGAGACAGTCAAAGCGCTACTCCAATCCACCAAAGCAACCTACCACATCTTCCTAGGCAGTCGGTCCCTCGAAAAGGGCAAAAAGGCTCTAGAAGCTCTCAACACCGAAGTCCCCAATACGAAAAGCAGCGTTGAACTCCTCCAGCTTGACCTAACCGACGATGCATCTATTGAGACAGCTTATGAGACAGTGCGCAATAGCCATGACCACATTGATACTCTCGTGAACAATGCCGGTACATCACTTACACCCACCACGGCCACTAATATAAAGATTCCCATTACAAAAGCAGAGTACTAATTAATTCAGGAGCTAGCTTTGACGGCGAGTTCCTCGCAGGTCGCGTGTCACTCCGCGAATGCTTCACCAAAGCATACGACGTCAATGTAGCTGGTACACATGTCTTGACCTACACCTTCATACCATTACTGTTGAAGTCGGCAGATCCGCGATTAGTCTTCGTGGCGGGTCTGTCCCAGATCACCCAGGCTGCTGAATCCTACTTCCCGACACCGCCACTGCCGGCGGGTTGGCCGAAGAATGTTGATTTTGAGACTATTGGGTATCGGTGTAGTAAGACGGCTCTGAATATGCTGATGTTGGATTGGAATCATAAACTCAAGGCGGATGGGGTGAAGGTCTGGGGTGCTGGGCCGGGATTTCTGGCGACGGGCTTGGGTGGTTTGACCGAGAAGATTAGGGAGATGGGTGGCGGACATCCTAGTATTGGGGGTGATTTTATTAAGGACGTTGTGGAGGGGGTTAGGGATAGTGATGTTGGGAAGTTGGTGCAGAAAGATGGGATTCCGGCTTGGTGAGTGGTTGTTGAGTATGGAATGGTTATTTGGGTTGAGGGTATTATCTCAAGTTGGTGCATGTCTTAATTTTGTTTGCCCTTTCTGATATATTTATATGCTTAGGTTACCAGAAGTTCACGGAGAGCAGAGGTCGAGAAGGCGAGGGGGTATCATCGTAAGATGTTGAAATTGTATTTATATCCTGCTACTACTCTGCTCATCTAATTATTTACTTGATTATAGAATACTATGTCTATTCTGATAGCGCAGTATTTTAGGCGCTACGAAGCTCACTGACCAAATTTGAGATTAATTCCAATTTCGCTTCATCTCACACAGTCAAGCTTCTAGTTGGAAAGCTAATTATATATAGGGATATCCTCATGATCATTTGCAAAAAGATGGAAACCATAAGCGCCTTTGCTCATGCGTCAAATTGCTGACTCTGTAACTCTAATCAACAGTTTTCTTCACAAGCGCTTGCTCAATCAATCTAAAAATATGCTGTTGTTTATTTGCTCTTACGAGCTTCAGCTGCACCTTCAGCCTTGGTGAAGGCCGTGCGCAGCTCCTTGGTAGCCTCCCACAACACCCACAGAGGAACCCACACCCAGAGGGTATTGAAAAAGAACAGATAGAACCACAAGTATACCGGGTTACTCGTCTCCAACTGCGAGCTACCGGTAAGCCATTCAGGCGCAAAGGTCATGAATCCACCGTACAGCTCAGCGGTCGCCAGAGCGGGCGCCACCAACCACAGCTTCGCTTTCGCGGAGCCTTTTACCGCGGCACTTGTCCGACTGCTAGAGGCCTTCCACAGAAGATAACAGACATAGAGCGCTGCGGGACCTCCGAGGAAAACGGTCAACAATTCGAGGGAAATCACGTTGGCGTCGGCGGCCGCCCAGCGGAAATCGGCCTTCGCGTATTCCTGCCACAGTCGCGAGCTGGGACGGGTTCCGTACGCAGCTCCGTATACGCGGTCCTTCTGATCGAGGAAGTAGGGCGGGCGGTTGAATCCGGAGGGGATACTTGTGTAGCTGAAGAAGCACTCGTAGAGGAATGAGCCTTCGATGAAGATGTGGGTGAGGGCGTCATAGGCGTGCCAGAAGAAGAGGATACGGTTTCGCATGTGAGTGGAGGGGATTAACGCCCGACCCAGGATGTAGGCGGCTGGCATGAAGGAAAGGGCAAACGCGATGCAAAGACATGTCGCGACGTCGAGGGTGAAAGGTGCGGCGGTCGACATGTTGGCTGTGCGCTGTTCGATCTGGGCTTTTGTTGTTTTTATGCTCCTCCACCAAAATAGGTCCCAGGTGAGGAGGAACTGGATGTACGAGGAGGAGAAGCTAGGCGTAGTTATGTCAAGTTTCTGTCATGGACACGTCGGTAGATTAACGCTGAAGACGTTGCGATCTCTATAGCGTGGTGTGAATTGATCTCAAGGTTGGGCCCCTGAAAATGTGAGAATGATCGACACTGTGGCTTATGCCTGAGGCAGTGACGGAATTCGATTAGTTTGCGGACCCACTTTTGCGATCTTGTACGGAGGACATACTAGTATGGCCTCCATCTTTCCTAAATAATATAAGGCTATGTCTTCATTTATGAGAGGGCCATATTCGTTGCCTAATGAAACACTTTGGTCTCCTTTATATTCTTCCATCTATTAGGTCACGAACCAATGCCGAGAGCCGAGCGCTTCAATAGTGCTGTCCTCAATGGATCGCCTCGACGGCAAACAATGAATGACACCCCCGCATAAAACTTCCTCCACAGCCGCAAGGCTTTGGGCACAAGGAGGATCTCAGCCTGATTGGACCAAACACGAGGAAATGGCTTGGGTCTCTCTTCATGTGAGCCAGCCTCCCCAGATTCTAGTTCATCCTCGAGTTACGGATCTGAAATACTTCACTCGACTTGGCCTGCCGCATCTGGAAGAACTGGAGTGAAAAGGGAAGTCCAGACCGACTCCCCCCATACACTCAATCACGCATCCAACAACTACAAGGGCTGTGGTCTTTGTTCGCTCTGACGGAAAGACGTCAAAGAAATCTCCTCCTGTGGAGCCGACTCGCCTCTAACACGCACTCATTGGCTTCCAGCGTTTCTCTATGAGAACCCTAAATTTCCTGACTTCGATAAGCCACAAAGAGTAACGGTGCACTTGAAGAAGCTCGTGTTCTCCGTTTTTACTATTTCATGCCTTGCTGCGCCTCTGCGAAAACGACCTTGGTACCTTTCGCCGTGTGCTCCTGGGCGTTCGTGGCTGATGATACTCACCAGTAACCTGTATCTCCCGCCAGAAGTTAGGTCAGATAAGTTCTGATCTACTCTATCTTCCTCATTACCCGGGCCAGTCCACGTGGTTACTATTCGAATGGCACCCGTTGTGCTAATCCTCACCCTTATCTGCCCTATAATCTCTTTCGTTCTTGAATCATCGCATCTTTTTATCTTGGTCAAAGTTCATCCTCTCCTAATCAGTGAATGAATTTCGGGGAAATTTCTGTATCTACTAAACTGTACACATGTTGAGTTATTTACAACACGTTTTATTGTCGCTCCGTGCATTGGACTCCGTTAGACAAGCAAACTGCCACCATGGCCGATTCCCCCGATTCAAGCACAGCCGGTATCCTCACTCTCACAAAGCTGGCATGGGATCTTTACCATAACTGCTATCTTATCACTAGTGACGCCCCCGAAGTTTTCAAGCAGCTCGTAAATGAACTAGCCTCACTGCAAGGTGTTCTTCGAGCTCTCCGAGATGACGTAAATTCTAACGCATCCTTCTTCGATGATCTAGAGGAGGGTCGCAGAAATACTTTACAGCGATGTTTGAACGCCTGCTTCAGTACTTTACAGCAACTGAAGGAGCTGATTGCCCAGTACAGGAATCTGGGGGTGGGTGATAGTAAACAATTCTGGCAAAGAGTCAAATGGGTCGCACAACGAGGACAGATAGATGATTTGAAATCTAGGATCATGGTCCATACCTGCAACCTTAGCTTATGTATGAGCTCGATTGGCAAGTAAGTGTCCCAAATCGTTTCTTGAAGTTCTTGTCTGCTTACAGGTTCAGTTCAACTTTGGCAAGAATTGAGAGATCGATGACGGATGCCTTAGAACAGAAAAGCTTCCCGTCAACCCCGGAAACGGTGTCGCGTGGGCAGCGTGTGTTGAGGACACCACCAATACCGGGAGATGGTGATTTTCAGCTTGATGAGTCACTACGTATTGAGCCACTGCGTGTTAGCCCAAAAAGTGCCCCTATGAGAGCAAATAGCCTGCCGACGGCTGAGACCCATGGTCGTATCTCTGCTTCCGAGTCGATTCCTTCTGGCGGGTCTGAGTGGTCAGCAACCACAGCGAACATTACTTCACCGTCCATTAATGACCAAGTGAAGCGTTCCATGTCCCATAATTATGTGGTCAGACGTACTGGTTCATGTACACCAGAGTCGAGGCATTTGAGAATGTCAAGCTCTGAGAGTGCGCAACTTGGCATCCACCCAGCATTGCGAGAAGAGCCCTTTTTCGATGATCGCGCCGAGTCCCCAGGATCTGATCTGGATAATACGGCCGTTACAAGTGCTGTCGCAACTGCCATGCAGCAGCTTCAGCAGGTACAAATCAGAGACAGTATCCTTCGACCATTGCGGTATGAACCGCGCAATAAGCTCCACCGACCTGATCCCCAGCTTATGAGAAGTTTTGACACCCTGGTGCAAGACGAGTTGAGGATTAAGCGCCTAAACACAAGTGATTGGCTACGAGTCGCAGTGTGGTGGCTATTGAAGGTGTGTTGGATATTATACTCTTCCTCTATTATTAGAGAATATAGAACCCGACGACAATTAACAAGGTTTCAAGGCTCGAGCAACTCTTGCCAGTTCAGATAGGCCGAGTCTTGTCGGCCCTCGAGGTAGTGTGACTCCACCAACAGGGTCCTGGGCCCCAGGCGATCAAGCCTATGTCGATCTCCTCAAAGCATCATATATCTTATACGACATTGTTTTGGCTGATGCAAGCTCGCACACCATTCTGACCCATGAAAACAGGAAGCTGATCTCCGATTTATCGGAGGTAAGTCATGCTGTACTTAATTTGGATGTCCTAATCTAATCGTTCAATAGGGCATCAAAGACGAGTTCGCGCACTTCATCTCACTGGACGTCCCCGAATACTCTATCATACAGTCTCAAAATATCGATATATGGGAACCATTGCAGCCAGAAGAAGCAGCTGAGAAGGGCAGTGACTCAATAATCGGTCTGAACAATGTGCGCTGGGCTACCGTTGACCTAGAAGACGCGGGAGATGAAGAAGAAAGGGTTTTCTATCGGACGTTCGTGAACGCTGGTATCGGTAGCAAAAGACTCCGTATGCGAACAAAAGGCGCCCCGTATATGCTCCTTTTGTCTGCAAGGGAAGGGGAAAGTGAGCCTAAGATAACGATATGCAACCAAAGCGGCACGCTTTGCCTGCAGCGGGACCGTAAGTGAATTGACCCAGTAATGCTGGCAGCTCTACCTAACTGACAAATACTGATAATTGGCCGGGCAGTTCTACCCGAAGATCTGGCCCAAATGATACGAATTTGGCAAGCAACTGTCTCTGGTTATCCTGGCATGAAGATTTCGGAACCTATCGTGCTACAGTTCGATACTAAGAGTGTATCAGTCTCTTTCCAACATGCGTATGACTTGCAGTATTTCATAAACCTGCCAAAGGCTTACTTTGACGCCGTATGGCAGCGAGAACCAGTGGACTCCGATCAGTTTTCTGAGATCGTCTTATTTAAAAGCTCAGTCGAGAAGTTTGAGCAGCTGAAGGCGCCCACGATGAGACCCATGAATCCCCCAGTAATCCACAAATCATGCGAAGTGCGCATTCTGGAGAGGTCATATGGAGAGGCATGGCAGTCTGTCCGACGCATGGTAATTAGCTCTTGGGTAGCTGAGCAAGCACCGAGATGCATTGAGTTATTTATGCCCATGAGCCGTGTCCAAGTCTGCCGCGGTACGGACTCTGGACAGATCTTGGTAAAATGGTCAGACACATGCCAAGAAAGGTCAAGCAAAACTGATGGTAATTACCATCCTTTGTATTCCTACATGTACGATGACAATAGCCCTAATATTGGGCTCGGACTGCATTTCCGGTCCCAAAAGCAGGTGGAAGATTTTGAAAAGGCCATTCTTAGCATGTGCTCTCAATCAAGCTTTTCCTGGGATCAGCCTAGCAGCTCTGGCTACGTCTATGACGTTGTAGATCCCTCTGGGGACCAAAAGCAGTACAAGGCCATTCTGCTCATCCAATCTCGTTTGACCTGGAAATACTGCAGCCTCTACTATATCTACCGGGATACAGATTATGCCTATGACCACAGAATGCTACGTGTCCGGTTTCCCCGCCTATTCTACACCGATTATATTTCGTCGCATGTGGACCGGTTGTACCCAGCCGACCGTCCAGTATCATTCTCCCATTGCGAGAAGAAGGTCGGAAATATGACAGCAGAGTTCGACGAGGAACCGCTACTGCGTAGCTTTATGAGCTCACTAGCCAACGGTTACGAACTTTTGTACTCACGACGCGCCGTTTCCCTAGTGACTAAAGGTAAAAGCCTTTTCGGGGCCAGGAAGTCAAACAAAGGTGAAACAGAAGTACAGCTATGGCGAAAAGGGGCGTCCATCCAGATGTCGTCACGGTGGGATGAACATGTCACCGACAAGTGGCTGACTGTCTCCGTAATGCCGGGTGCTCTACAGGCAACCAAGGATAGTACGCGAGTGGAATTTTCAACGCTGCAATACTCTAGGGGATCTTTCCTTAACATGGCAGGCATCCTTTCCGTAGCCCCGAAAGACCCTAATATGGCTCGACGGGGTGGGCAAATCGCGATAAACTTTGTTACTGCTAAAGGTATGCTCTATGAAGTTGATTTGGTTGGTTGTGTCTGTGTGTACTAGTAGCTAACAGTGATACTTTTAGACCGACATGATTTTGTTTCCGCTTTAGAATGCGACTCTGTGCCTCCCGCCTATGGTGTTTAAGTACAGAGTATTTTGGGATTAGCATACGGTGCGGCGTTGGTTTTGGGGTTTGTCTTCATGAGCGCCGGTTGTAAATTATATCTTGGCATGATGGGACTTTCACTAACACATCAATCAACCCACGATTTGAAATGGAGATATATCAAAAACTATACAGACAGTGTCTATTTCTAGCAACCTTTGTGTAAAAATAAACAAAACGAACAAGGATGAAAGCGATCAATAGATAATACCAAGGTATGCGACAGAAGAAAAGTAGTCATGCCGGGATCAACTATCTCAGGATTTGCTTTATGTGACTTAGCTTCTAGGGAACGCTCTTTGGAGAAGCTGGGTGGAGCTTCCAGATTCCATAGATGGTAGTAGCCTGATTGATTCCTTGCTAACCAGGCATCCGGGTTCCCGGTGCCCTAAAGAAGACCTTTCGACTACTCCCGGCGTAAAGATGCACTTGATACTTGTAGGGTTGTGCGATCATGGAGTCTCATACTCGATGTCCCAAGACCTTTCCGACAAGCCTCGTTCATTTGTACATAGAGCGACTAATTGGACTGTACCAAAATCGATGGTCAGTGGTCACAGAGAGTGGATGTTGATCGTTGGAAACATGCCCATTGTCAACTGTGTACTGCGTGAGAGTCTGAGAATGACGTCATGGACATACTCGGTCGCAGTCATTTCCAGGATCAATATAACCATACTTATATTTGAGATGTAACACTACAGCAGTTGAACGAGGGGCAATGACAGCCGCTCGTGCCAGAAGACGGTCTCTGGGAGACTTGTGATGGAGTCGAGAGACTGCACATCATCACCCGCTGACTGTTACCCCACTCGCCATCTGGGGAGACGAAAATCTCGCATAGAGTCCGGTGGGACCCCAGATTTATTAATGAAGTTTGAGAAGAAGCGATAAGAGAAATACAGAAAGTTTTCTTGAAGAATGTAAGTTCGATCCCAAAAAAAAGTTATTGTACTACCAGCTCTAGCCCTGGTCCTGCCGAGTAAGCTGCAACATTTCCCGCCATTATTCGTCACTGGTCAACAGCTTTCATCCGCCACTTTCGTCCCGCGATGACTCAATTCAGGCCATTTTACATACGCGTTCCGTGTGATCGCTCGGACTAGTTCGATTTATGAGTCTTCAAGCCCCGGATCTTCAGTCGCCGGACGAGTCACCCGGGCGATCGTATACTACACCTTTTGACGCGTGCGCCTTGCACGTGCAGGCCTCATGACCAAACCAATAGAGGCGGAGCTGCTTTATAATCCTGACTGCCTACGCACTTTTGTTACCACTATTGAAATGTGTCCATTGCGCTATGAATAGACGTTGCGAGACTTGGGACTTTCGTTAAGGAGGGTTCTCAATACCGGCCTTTTTCCAAAGGTGTCCATTAGCGTTTTGGTTCTGCCTGGGCTTGGCTATTTATTGTCGTTCCTCTCTTCTCGCTAGTCCACCTTATAAATTTGGCCTTCTTTCCCATTGGAATCGGTTTCCTTCTGCAAGTTTGCATTAGCGCTGCGTTGTTGGCATGCCGCATCTACTCCACCATAGAAGACGCCATTCCTGGCCTTATTGCGGACCAGGACCCCGTCACAACGTCCCTCTGATCCGAGTCGCAGAGCAGCAGGCTCAGCTCGAACAACAATTTCTCACTCCGCTGGCTTCGGGCGACTATCTTGAAGATGATGCTGCGTCTGCAGGGATCGTTCCTCCCAAGACCACCCGCCCCCATCATCGCATCTGGCCCTATTCTAGAACAACAGTTGGACACACCATCCCCAGCACCGGGCACAGCTATGGCTCTGGCTCTGGATCATTGCGGCGTATGATCCGCCCGCCGTTGGATAAGGCTCGGTCGCTTTTCGTCCTGCCCACCACGACTACTGCCGGTCAGAACGTGGTTGTGTCATACTGGGTGCCGCAGAAACCTGTTGTGCAGCCAGTTGCTCCTGATAGAGGTCGACAGCTTTCTAATCTGCCTAAGCATTTGGCGGTTGATAGGAACCATCGCCGGTGTCACTCAGAACAACCACGGTCATGGAGGCGTCCGAGTGCGAGTTTGTGGACACTCACGGAGGAGTGATTTCCACTTCTTCTTCTTCTTCTTCTTGTTGTTGTTGTTTTTCATGAGCTCGTATTCTGTACTTTGCTTTTTTTGCCCATCATTGTCATACTTGTGGATGGTAATCTGATTTTTGTGTTTACATGATTCTTGCGAATTGAAAGGGGATGGAGTCATCTGCATTGCATTAGCTCGGCAGCATAATGGGGAGGCGTTCGAACAGCTTTTGAGTCAGTCAACGAATAAGAGGAAAAGAACAAGAAAGGGAAAAAAAAAAATACTATTCAAGACGAATTAATACCCCAATTGTACGAATCCATATTTCACACATTCCTTAGTGGTTGAGGTCATTCATTTAAATCAGAATATTATAGTGAACCTGTCGGACCTTACTTTACCCCAGTAATCCCCAGCCTTGACATACATACCCTTAGGGCACCCGTAGTAGTATTGCCCTACCACCGGACCTATCACCATCGACCAAACACCCCGGATTAACTCCATACAGGAGAGGAGAACAAGTCCGACCATTCGGACCAGCACGGAACGAGCGTGCCGATGACTGACCCTCTTGGCAAACAGGGCGCGCCAATCATGATGTCATTGGGCAAAGATAGAGCCTCAAGTGGAGCGAAGAATGTTCCGATATCCGGGCGGAATGCACAAGTCAAGGTTGCATTGGTCGATTAGTTTTGAGAAGTTCGAAGCGGGTCTGGGTCTCATGGATCGCTATCTCCGCGGGATAGTATGTTTGAGATCAAATTTAGAAGCAATGTTACCTAGTTTCCACAGACTCATTCCGCGGAAGTAAGTAGTCAGCCGTAATGGGACGCCGACCGTGGATCCTGGTCAGATTTCAGCCCTAAAAACAGACTGTCTAGCAGTTTCCTGTCATCATCTTGTTGACGCAGTAACCAGTCAGAATGTGGTTGTCAAATTTAGTACTTCGTACGAGTGGGGGCCAAGAATGAATGACTTGGTTTTGTTTCTTCTCGAAATGCGCTAGAAACTAGTTTCTGGGCCGGGCGTTGTCTTAGCCCGGAATGCATCAGCTGAACATGCGTGTTGTTGTTCTGTCCAAGTGAGGGGTTAGCTATCCTTCTTTTTTTTCTGACTGGTCTTCTGTCCACATTCTCAAAAGGGAAAAAAAAAAAAGACAGCTGCCCGACCGATGGTGACAGATTGTGTTGAACCACGACAGTTCGTATTCGGGATGAGAAGGAAAACCAGCATGATCAGGCAGAATAATTTCCATTGTACGGAGTTGGGGAGTGACTAAGGGAAGAGTGACTTTTCCAGGCAGAAGCGGTGTATTCGAGCCTCTTGATGGGTTGTGCGGGTCCGTCGCAGCTGGTTATTGGTTAGATCGGGTACCTCGTAGGGCAGAGGAGTGGGTCTCCCCAGGACCCTCACCGACTTGAGTCAAAAAGAGAAACAAGAATCCACGCTAAAGCCCTATCGATGGGGCCCGATGCCGTGTTGGCATCCTCCCATTCGCCGGCACGGTCACCTCCGACAGGGGGCCGCGTGCCAATTTGACAATCTCCCATCTCGATAGGCCGAGGAGGGGAATGAGTTAAATGATAAACTGTCGTCAGGAGAATCCGCTCGGGGGAGCCGACTAGAAACATAAATAACCCCTCGGGACCCCGTGCTTCTCGGGAATTTCTTTCTCTAGTCAGCAACAATTATCTCTGCTTCTTAGATAATTATCTTAATAGTACCAAGCTTCCCAATTTCTCCTGCTTCAAGCGATGAAAGATCAGAACACTACTGCCCCACAAGTAGACATCCAGCAACCACAGCGGACAAGCATTGAGCATTCCCTCACCCATACAACCACTACCTCCTCATCCAACTCTTCCTCCAGCCTTCCAGAAAGGTCTACCACTTCAACTCAACTTCAAACAAAATCCAACCGACTCTCCGTAACAGCAGGAAGACTCTTCGCTTCCCGCTCTCGCTCTCGGTCCAAATCCCCCGCTCCCAGCGACATCCCAACCACCACACGCACGCGTCGCTCGGACTCAGAGAGCACCTACATCCTCAAGCGCGACAAAATGGCTCGCATCAGCATTCCACGTCGCTCTGAAAGCCCCACGCAAATGTCTCCCCCCGCCTCCCCATCATCCATCAAGGAGACACACTTCACCAAGCGCAGATCTGACTCTTACCACTCCCGCAAATCCAGTGACGACTACCGTCGCTACAGCGGAACCGTGAACCACTACGGTCGTCACTCGAACGACTGGTTGTTCGGAGGATTCAGTCTCCGCGACACCGTCCGCGGCGGTGTTGACCGCCTGCGCCAGCGCGATGACAAGAGATGAATGAAGAAGTGGATCCCTCGTTTCTGACGGATTGTTCTCTCAACTTCCTTTTCCTCTATACCGTTATTCAGATCCGGTATATATGGTTCAATAACCATGACTGTCATTATCTGAGGATTATGGCTGTGGCTACGGGCTACACTACCCACTTATTTCGGTCTCGGATTACCTCTTCCACTTCCGAGTGAGATTAGATCAGATTAGATCATTGGTATCGATCGGAGGAAATCATCTTATCCCCTCAAGGGGTAGACTATCTTGTCACCGAGCTCTTGGACTGTCTTCGGCTCCTTGTGGAGGATTTCTGTTCACCGTTGTGTGAATACCTTGCACCTCCTACCTGTCTTTCGCCAGGGTCGGTTTCCTTGACTGTCATTGAATGAGCGGGTCTTTGTCCGGCTATGCAAGCATCTGGTGGATGCTTCGTTTTTTATTTCTTCGCTTGCTCGGTTGTACCGAAAGATATTTTGTTTATGAGCTATGTTGTTATGAGCTTTTTGCGACTTGCAAGTCAAGTTGTCGATATTTTCTCTTTCGTTGATAGACCGAGTTGGTCTTGTATTTTGTTTGGCCATCTCGGCTACAGAGTTATAACCATATAATATACGATTGAACGGAAATAATTGTCTTCCTCATGTAATTCATAATAAAACTGGCGCTTGTGTAGATTAAACACAATGTGTATTGGTCGGTATGGTAAATTTCATGTACTAATGTCCTTTGCGCTCATGTGACATAGTTTACAGCTTATCCTCACGCGAAGGGTTGTATTAACCTATATGGGAGTTGGCATGTACACTTATGAGTGGTAAGGTATGTCCTTGAACATAATGTGAAGGCACTACAGTTAAATTGTAGGCCAATATCACCGGACATTGTGGTAGCTGAGGCCAGGAACAGCTCATTTGATTCTGTTGTTGTGTAAAGGGAGCATAAAAGTCTCACGTTTACCCTGCCAAAGCAAAAAAAAAAAAAAAAAAAAAAAAAACCCTAAAATAATGAGGAAAATAACATAAAATACTTCATCCAGAATCGTTGGTTGTATTCGTAACCTACTCCCACATACATTGCAAGTCAACAGGCAGTCCTTTATCATTCTGATTTGTCAACCCAAAAACTTTCAATGTGCCTTCTGATGAAACCAATGCGAATTTCTTCCAAGCCCCTGCTTTAGCCAACTCAACGATGACTCGAAGCAGTGTTGCAAGCTTCTTCAACTGTTCTTGATGGTTCTTCTCCCAATTCTGAAGTCTTCCCAACTTCAAGTAGTTCTTTTTCGTAATGCTTGTAAAATTCCCAACCCCATCATAATGACCAGCACAAAGAAAGGGTGTCTGGGAAAACCAAAGTTGTTCAGTGTTCTTGGAGATATCCAGGTTTTTCCCAACTGCTCCAGTTTTGATTTCGATAATCCGAGATGGCGCGACCAACTTCCCGCATTTCAATACTGTATAGCCTGTTGGGGTCTTTTGGATTTCTGATGCAGGCATTGTCATGCGAATGTCCTTGTCAGATCCGGTGCAACCGTCGACTTCGTATCGCATAATAATCTTAACATCCCCGAACATGTAGCGAATGATTCGATTATGAGTCAAGCTATCCCTGACCGCCTTCGGTTGGCGGGTAGATGCCTTTTCAAATTCATGCCCATATCCATGAAATCCCTTGACATAGCTAGTTGCTCTTGGGGTCCAACAAGAGAACAATACTGTGCTATTGACAACCTCTACATCAATGCGGAATGGGCTCTTCTTACCACTCACGAAACCCAACAAAAGACGGAGGTTGCGTCGATCCGTCACAAGATCGATGTCGTTAAGTTTCACGGTTGGCTGCGTGAGCGATATCGCTCTGAAGAGTGGTTCAAGAGAACATTTGGGGAATACATGTCGATTCGGGTCCATTTGATATCTCCCTGCATCTGCCTTCACCTTTCTTGGTGTTTTTGGTGGCCTCCATATGGAGGGTGAGCCTGATATATTGAGCATCTGTATCCATGTCGGATTGACCTACGTACCAGGAACGACGATTGTTTTCCGCTGTTTTGGAAGTAAATTGTATGATGTTAATGTTGTTAGATCGACCTTCGTGGTAAGCCCATCTCTTGGATGGATGGAATCCAAAGGGATTCCTCCTAAAACATCCCCTAGACCTTTATAGAGTGGATCTCTTGACATGTTGGTGACTGATGGTGGGGGTAAATGATAGATCGATGCGTGGTGTGTGTCAAGCCTAAAGAAAGCGTTGATGCCTAAAGCCGAGCTTTGCTGCCTGAGGTTGGCGCATACACCATAGATTCCGAACACCACTAAACCTGGCACTTATAATTGCGTCCTTCCCTTCACTCTAGGCGTGATGATAGGAGATCGTGTGCATTGATAGCTAAAAAGATCATTTTCAGGTGACACACGGCCAGTCATGGCTTCTTCCCTCCAATTAGGCCAATGCCTTCGCGGTCAGAATGGCATATACACTATTGGTAAGCAATTGCAGGAGACGGTTTGGCTCGCAAGGTAGGCAGCTACTGGAAACCTAAGGGCAGATTCAGCTTATAATAGTTCTTTAGTAAAATCAGAAGCAATCAACCAGTGATTGTGAAAAGTGTCACTCATTTTCGCCTTCAGAATGAGCGTGATGTTCTGAACCTCTTCCAATCTCGCATCCCTTCATACGCCCCTTAATCGACGAGATAGTCGAGCCGTCAGACCCACCCGCCATAGTTTTGAAATATTTAGATGATAACCTTCCGAATGCTTCTGTCTCTAAGCGACTTACAAACCAGGAGATCAAATATGTTGCTAGAAGTATTTTAGAAGCCCTCAAGGTTCTACATGACAATAGTTTTGTACATACAGGTAAGTAATGATGAATATCTGGATTAAGCATGCTCTCTTATTTAATTTGAAGATATCAAGCTCGACAACATTCTTGTAAACTATGGTCAAGGGGATGTACGGTTTACAGGTGTTCAACTTGCAGACTGTGGAAATACTGTTCCTGAGGATTCGGCGTATGCCAAGGGTGGTGGCTTGATTGGAGCGCCTATCTGGAGGAGTCCTGAAGCGCAACTCCGGATTGGCTGGGGTACACAAACAGACATATGGTCCTTTGGCGCCTTGGTACGTTCATGTCGATCTCTCAATGATGCTGAGCCGCTCTGACCTTGCTCCAGCTCATAACCTTGCTCTATGGAGGCAATTTCTTTCTTTTCAAGCCCGATGTTCCCGCAGGTCATGACGATTATGAATTACAGATTTTGCAGAGACAGTGCCAGTTCTTTGGACCATTCCCTTTGACATACCGTGAAATCTGCCCTCCGGAGACATTAAGTATCCTGGTATATATTATGAAACGTATTCCTCAAGAGATAAAGCCATTTTCAAGGATTTCAGAATAGGAGATATCTAAGGAGGACAAGGGGTTCGTTCTAAGAATAATGAAGCTTGATCCACGGGACCGACCGTCAGCAGCAGAGCTTCTGCAGGACAAGTGGTTGGCTGGTAAAAGTACATAATGAAATAATATGAATCGCAACATTAACCCACTCCGCTGAATCCAAGCCTCCTACTACGCACTCAACCCAGCCAAGGGTGACAGCCGAGATCGAGCTGCTGGCAGCTGCTGCAAAAGATGTGGAAAGAGATTTGGAGGAAGTGAAGACCTTAAATATTTTCCTACTAGTAGTAGTTTCGCGTGAGATATAGATAATTGGTCAAGAGTCAATATTAAGGTTGACCGGCTGATACATCTTGAGAGCAACATGCAGACTATATAATAGACTTGATTTAGTTACCACACTTAGGTGCATAAATTTTGGCCAGTAGTAAACATAATTATATTCCAGATAACAAGTAATACACCCACCATTCCGAGCCCACCGAACACAATAGCGCGTTCCTTTTGAGTGCCTTGACGATCGCATTTACCATGAACTTTCGGACCGTCCCTCTCGTATCCTAATGTTTGGGTATCGCCATAAGCTTGACAATCTATAATAGCAATGCTGCTCCTTTTGCAACAATTTTATTGGACTTGACCGCCCATTGTACCACGAGATTGCCCGCGGTTAGTCCTGGTAAAGGTCAGCTATAATAACTTCAGCTATACACCAGTAGATTTCTCACATGACATTTATTTTGTTCTAACGGATATAGATGCCACACAGTTCCTCATACTCTCATTACATGCGAATATCTGCAGGTCAGTAAATTGAGAAGATAATACTAGAATATACGACTGCCCGATAATAGTCCATTTAAATAGAAGGGGAAGGGGGGGGGGAGGGGGGGGGAAGAATTGGTCTTTGAAGGGCCAGTGGCTGGTCACAAGTTGGCACCCACTTAGGCTTTGGCATTAGCAGACCTCAGTTCGAAAAGCAAGACAAACGCAACAACAGACACAATGTCACGCAGCTGGGATGAGATGCAGCACACGAGCTGCGAAATCACGTCAGCCCTACGCCACTTGCAGCAATCAGCTTGGCGTACTTGGCGCCCTTAATAGGGACCAATGTGGGCCCGGGTGGCTTGGACCAGTTGGATACACGCTTCAATCATCTAACCTCCCAGAGATCCGACAGGACGACCATATGATAGCATGGATTAATACTAATATCTCTGCCTAGTCCCGACTTAACGACATGTTGATTATTGAGAGCGTCTCCCAAGGGCGCGTACCCCGCCCGCCGATGGAGCCATTCCCCTCCAGGGTCCACTATTGACCTGTCTGCCAAGGGCCTATATACTGTTACAACCATGCCAAGTGGGGGATTCTCACATACTACAAGCGCCCGTGTTGATTTTATTCGGCAAGAACAACCAGGCCTCTCCGCTATGACTGTTGCCTAGAGACACAAAAGCCATCTGCCGGTCCGGATTAAAACACCATTCCTTGATGGAGTCGCTGTGTTCCGCGTTGTGCTCCTTCCCCTCTCCACTGCCTACAGCCATGCGCGAATACCGGGCTAATGATCAAAGGCCATGTGTCGGGAATCATGAATCCTTGTGAAAGCGCAACGCGGGGTATACCCCTGCTGTTAACAGGCAAGGGGATATAAAGCCCGCCTATTGACCTCCTCGTTCGCTTCTATCTATCTTGTCAATCAACCTCTTCGCCCTTGCCTCTTCAAGCACCATCAACTTGTCCTTACTCCTTCTTATCTTCTCTCATAGTCATTTATTCTCCTTTTATTCACCATGAGCTTCCACGAGAGTGCTGAGGATATCGAGATCAGGGATGGCCACATTCTCTTCGCAAAACTCACAAACGAAGAGGGAGAGCTCCAGGACTCCGAAATCAACCTTAATGATTTCCTCGGAAACAACGATGGTGGGTGACTCACAAATTTTCAACCTAGCCAAGCCATTCTGACACCGGCTTTCTTTAGGACACTTCGAATGGGACGGCGGGAACTTCTCCGAGACGGCCGAAGATGTCAGATTCGAGATTGAAGGGGACGACGAAGTGCCAATTCTACGCGCAGTCTTGTTCAATGGAGAGGGAGAGCCTGTTGAAAGCGATGTCAACCTTTCTGAGCGGGTCTTCAATAGAAACGGGGAGTTTGTCTTCGAGTAATGTCTGTCTGATGAGCTAAATAACGATACATTTACATTGGAGGTAGTTCAATTGAAGACTATCGACTCATCCTCTGTGGACAGACAACCTAGTGAGATAATAAAGCATGCCGTTGGGACTTGACGATGTAGCCCCAACTTCTCCTAAATTACCCCGGGGCCCTAAGCTGTATGTCTATTACGCAGAGACAACCACCCGAAGAAAAATCAAAACATAAAAAGTAATATCAAAATGACATAAAGAATTAAAGAGAGAGCCAACCTAAAAATTACCGAAAACTGAGGCCATGGATAATCATTTTCGTACCACACATCAAAGACAGCTATCGGGGATGATGCTGCGATGAACTAGGTGTAGGCCACCACGCTTGACCGCTGGCTGACAATATTTAGACCGTTTCCATCCCATCCTCATCACCACCCAGATAATCGTTGAAGGGGGCCCTCTTCGTTGGATCGTTTCCCAAGTGGTTGCTACTACTAGTGGTTGGGTGGTGTGGGGTTCAGCCAGTGAGACTGCAATGTTTCGAAGTCCTACAGCAGCTAGCCAATAGACGCCATATAGCGCTGCATGTACATACAACCAAAGTGTGATTGGTAAATAGAAAACGAGCGCCAACCGGAGCCACAGTCTCCACATGCTATGGCGAGAAAGCGAGAAAGCGGTTAACCACTTTATGGTCTCGCAGAGTATCGTCAATTTATCTGTCTATCGCCGCAACGACACACCAGCACTCATATGGATTAATGGTAGAGAATGTTGCGACTATGACATGAATATTGATACGAGTAGTTCACCAGACTACCGATATCCGCGACCTATAAGCAGTCTGACCAGCACAACTAGGATAATTGAGATTTTATATCGTATGTAATAATATACGATACTCCGAAATAGTGCCTTTCCAATTCCTTGTGTTAATTATATCCTGAACATTGGCTTCGGATAACTTCAATACAGGTTATTTATGACTGGGCTTTGGTTTACGATGAGCCATGTGAAAGAGAAACAATACGGCTGGCCCTACAGCATAGTATATTTCGTTGTTGCATCTAGCATCTTGCTTACTGTACCTATTAATGGAGAGTTGCTCAACGCTAATAGAGTACTAACCGGCGATTTTGTTGACTGAGTTGGTTAGTATTTGATTGGGAAAACTGGCTCTCCTATATTGGAACTGGAAGGAAGGGTTAAGATATAGATAGATACTGGGTAGATAGGGTAATATTGATATAATCGTTTTCTGTCGATGTGCCTTGCACGGAGATTGTTGTATCCTGTTCAAAGATAAGACATCCTTACCATGATATTATTACATTATTATTATTATTATTATTATTATTATTATCATGTGGTTGTCCAATATTAAATATGGATAGAGCTTTGCGATAAGTTCGAAGAATATTTCTTGACAATGGCAAAGGAGAAAATGGATGCGCGCGCCGATGTCGGTGGTAAGAAAGATGAGATTGGGAAGATGCTGGATTGGTTTTGCCTATGGTGGTATGATAAATCCACTAAGGGAGGTCAGCGGTCACGACATATAGACTATCTGGTCTCGCGAGGAATGCTAGCCGTGCAGAAGCTGACCAGCGCACCAATGCCAATAGTGAGAGCGATGGTTGTAACATCAGATTCAGAATATAAGGGTAAAAAGTCTATATTGTTTGGATTGAATGAGTCGGATTTTTGTGAGGAAAGAGGAGGAGATGAAGGAGGGTCCATTAAAAGGCAACCTGCGGAGGACAATTCTGATGATGAATGTCTTGGGCATTGTAATTTCGGCTGGCCATGGGCTATCGGGAATGATAATACGGGATGGAGATGGGATGTTGATCTCCCTGTTAACGATGAGCTGAGGAATCGAGGCTACGTCTTCTGGTACAAAGCACGACTACTAAATGTAACGAGTTCCAGTCTCCTCGTGACCCAGTGAAGCATGCTTTTGAGTTCCCTGACGGCTATAAAGAGCATTTTTACCAGCCGGGTATTCAGACCAAACTCAAAGATTTCCCTATCTATTGGGATGTTGTCAAAGAGATGGCGGATGAAATTTGCTTTCCAGTGTATTTCGATTCTTTACCTGTGATCTCAAATAGTAAACAAATATGGCTATCCATCCACCTTCAAGCTACGAAGCAGGCTTTGGTTGGTACCAATGCCAAGCAGAATCAACAACGCATGGGTGTATCCCAGAGCAGACTATTCCTACTTAACGCAAAGCAGTGTAATGAGGTTCATTGAGCCAGAAGATGAAGTTGAACTGCTTCACGAGGGTTTGTGATCTTGTTACCCTTCCCTAACCCTATGTCATTTTCTTGGATCTACGCGTAGTCAATCAATGAGCATTATCAAGCAAGGATTGCGTGAAGAATACACTTAGACAATATAACCTTTTGTGTACTTAATCACAACTGTTAACATTTCCTTTATAATACAATACGTAAGTCCATCTACTTTGCGTGATAACATCCATTACGTTTCTATAGTTAGGACATCGCAGGAAGAGATGGCCCCGACACCTATGTACATGGTCAATGTACCCCACTGAGACCTCTATCAAGATACCTACTCAAAGGCCACTTATCAAGAGGTCAGCAATAGACAGGGCTCATTTGCCACCTTCATAGGTTAGGCTTCCATGAACAGTGACATTGAAAGCTGAAGAGTCCTTTGACACTTTCGGATTTTGTAGAATCATCGCATCGCAAGGTTCCACTATACCACATTTATCAAACTATTCTGAGGATTGTGTTAAATGACTCGAGTATACTAAACGAGCCGTATGTAGAATTTGGTGTCTCCAGCGGGTTGCAGAATAATATGCAAATTGATTATCATTCCAGGCAATTGGGTTAGCAATCAAGCAACGTGATATACACCGTATCCCATCCTGTATTGCATAAGGCAGAAATAATGAGTTAAAATGCTGTAGTGCTCAATAGTCAATTTCGCACAGAGCTTTAAACACTTGAATGCGATTACAATCATACGCCCAAGTCTCATACCTCAAAACAACTCCATATGTACCGGCCAAAGCCCCGCTAGAAAGGCTGTTGCTGTGGGAAGGCGGCACGCATATCCTTAAAGAATTTCTCATCCAGTAGAGATAGTAAAACCGGATCATTCTCCTCCTGCATCCAGGTAGCGTCATGGGCCAAGGCAACGTGGACCCCCAGCTCTTTTTCCATCACTCTAATCCGTGCCAGTGTGTCCTTTGCTGCGGTGACATCTGTGTGGAGACAAGCCATGCTGCCTCCGAGCTCAAAGGTCCCGAATTCCTTAGTACCATCGAGCAGCGCCCTATGTCAGAGTTAGTTTAGCTTGTGACTAAGACAAGAAAATGTGTACCGAGAATGACAGCAATCAGAAGCCAACATAACCCACTCTCCTGTTGCGAGCCTAGCACAAGCAGCCAGATTACCTGGCATATGGCCCGGAGCCTGAATGACCCAGAAGCTCCCGTCTCCGAAAAAGTCCATTGCGCGTTCGAACGGCCCGAAACGCGTCCACGGCCCTTGTAATGTTTCCCACCGTTCTATCGCTCGTTCTGGATCAAAGTATCTTCCGTCCCATGGAGAGGACGAGTTCATGAAGTGACCAGGGGCGCAGTATTCAGATGTACCAGGGCCAAAAAAAACAGTCGCATTCTTAAAAGCCCGTCTTACTGGCCGACAGTGGTCATAATGTGCGTGACTATGTATTATACGTAAGAGAGATACATCTAAACCGCCAAGGGGCATTTATCGTGTTCAAACCTGAGCAAGATGGTATCGATTTCATCAGCCGCAACCCCATTGCGACGCTCGATTTGCTTTTGAATTGACTCGCGCGGGTCCTGGGGTTGGATCTCCTTAAATGGCCCGTTTACTATAGCTGGGGGGAAATCTTCCGGGGCCTTTGATGCGTTAATACTTATATTTCTGAGTGGGAACCGAGCCTTAGAGCAGAGACACGCACCGATGACATTCCCAGATCCCAGAGCATGCGTCGTCCTTGTTTGGCATGATGGATGAAAAACGCCCAGTTATACAGCCGAAACTCCTTTGTTGGCTCCTCCCCCGCGTGGAGCATGTGGGTTCTGGCCGTCATGCTTCCTCCATTAAGCAGTTGAACACGAACGTATGCATCCGTGGCGGGCAGTTCGATCTTGGGGTCTGGCATGGTAGGCAGCCTTTCTGTTTTCTTCTTCAATAAAGCGGACAATTGGGAGCGTGCTTTCCGTTAATTCATAGTTGTAAGCCGCTGGATAAATGCATCTCAGAAACTAAGACGGCTTTAATACAGGAGGGGTAAGAGTGAAGTGCCCCACATGGCTCCCCATCTGGCTTATATAGGAAAGGGACTTGAGTGTATTGATATTGACATTATTATTATTTCTAATTCTTTCTTTCTTTCTTTCTTTCTTTCTTTCTTTCTTTCTTTTTTATTTATTTATTTCTTTCTTTTTTGGTGGAATGCTACGGATACGATGAGCAGACCATTCAACCAACTTCTCATATTAAGGGCTCAAAAAGCCAATCTATGTTAGGGTAAAGATAGTCAGTTGGTTCAGAAGCAGAAATGCCTTGGATTAGACCAATGTTGTCGAAATTAATTGGTTCAGTAGGCTCGTCGCCGATAGGGTTATGGTATGGATTGCGAAGATCTGGCATAGGAGGGAACAGGACCTGTTTGCTTTCACGGTCTATACCTCCAATACTTGACTTCAGAGCCCCTGGAGACCCATTATCCAGTAGCTCGCGAGATATCCCCAGTTTTTCAGCCCTAGACGTAGTGGCGCGTTCCATCAGCCGTGACAGAGGCTTTTGAAACATGGAGTATGTCTCAGGCGCTTCTTTAACACATTTTCTGTACATCTTGGCTACCACGTTCCAGGCATGGTCAGTTTCCGGGCTGATATTCCGGACGCAGAGTTCCGAGAGAACGTAAGCTAAGGCGTGCCATTGCTTGTAACTGCGAGCCAACCAGGCAAAATGTGCAGTAGTCTCGTTTTCTTGGAAGAAATAAGCAAATTCGGTGATCTCGACAGCGGTTTGAAAGATGGGGTCGGCTAAATATCTCGCGGGAGCTGACTTGTTGGCGTTTCCTGGTACGTTTTGGATATGGATTCCCAACCATACTTTCGAAAGCATCAGCCTACCGATTGTCGCAACCATCCATTGTATAGGAACTCCGAGGTCAAAATGATCCATGTACCGGTCTTGAAGACGACTTGCTAGAGCTTTGATATGGGCCTCTCGATCACTAATTGATATTTTTGAATTTTGACCGAAGGAAGGACCTAGTTTAGAGACGCTAGTCGCAATTTCGCAGTTGATAATGCAGAGAGTGATGTCTGTGTACCCCATTTTTTCGGGTGGAAGCTCTGTCATCTCTGGAATTAAGTCATGTCCATCCACGTTGGAGGGGAGGCGCGTATCAAACGTGTCTGGTTTTATTTGGGTATCTGTTCCTTGGTCCTCTGAGGCAAGCATGTCCAGAATACAGATATGCCACCACAGTCGACGACGGATCTCTGTTTCGAAAGGGCTTAGGTTGAATTCTGTACCATCGCGATGAATACCCTGGCCCTGGGCGACACGCACAACCACGGCAGCTTCCGCCCATACAACCCTTGTGTCGCCTACTACGCGAAAGCACAGAAGAAACAGCACTGCTGCTTGAAGAGCAGGGATATCTTTGGATTTTATAAAGTTGGCCTGTTTCAAGGCCCGGTTCACAGCCACACTCAACTCCTCGATGGCCATATCATGTGATTTCCCAAGCATTGATACACACTGGTCAGGTGTCATACTGACGACGGCAGCAAAACAGACAGATAGTATCAGAGATCTACTGCACGGCTCTAGAGCGATGTCATCCGCTGCGTCACGAACCATTCGCTCCACTGACGGTACGTGCAAGACGGCAATCAACGGGTGAACGCGACTTTGGTAGATACGCCACAAAATGTCTAGTTGTTGAGTAGAATGAGGATAGAACCCTTTAGAATTCGTTTTGGTCCTGTTAGAATCTCCAACAAGACCTCCATGCGGAAGACCAAATGGGCCCAATATCTCTTCTGTCTTGATATCCTCTTCGGATGATGAGCTTTCAAGAACGTCTCGCAGCTCTTGGATCTGTGATTTATCAGCAATCTACCAATTATGAATCATTCAAAGGGTACCGACTTCCCCACCTTATCACCAAATATCACGGAAGCATCATCATCGACATACCGACTCCTCCCATCTTTGACTACCAACCGGCCACTCTGATCAGGTCTCTCAAGATTTGTTCTTGATGAACCGCGTCGTTCTATATTAGACCCAGGATCATCCTTGTCTGCAGGGTGCATTGATCGAAGCCTCTCAGCATCTTCCAATTGCTTCAAGCGAGCCATTAATTCAGAAACCGGAGGTCTATTCAATCTCCGGGACACTCGCTTTGGTCCCGGAAATATACATTCTTTCCCCGACCTTGAGCATGCTTCACAGGGGTATTTCCTATCGCATCGGACCTTCCGTTGGCGACAATTGTTGCAGCTCCGCTTGCTGACCTCCTGGGAGTGGTTTGGCATAGTATTCGTACGTAGTCAGAGGGTTTTTGCACTCCGGAAAGTACCTCATAGCTATGTTGAATTAAGTTGTCGCATTGTGATGGAATATTGTTATGATTCGTAGTAGTTCAAGGGGGTTCGATATTGATCGACATTGAGTTTGGGGGTCAAATGTAAAGGGCTTGGCGTGAGAACCCTTTTGTGACTATGACGTCATCAATAATTATCCTTCTAGGACTCTATATAGCATTGTGTATTGAACTTGTAGATACTTTCACCACTATCGTCTGTGCGGTATTCTTAATACGTCTATTACTACTTGAAGCTTCATATCTCGATTAATGAGACGGATTTTGTGTATTAGTTGCAATATGTAGGTACATTACAGTGATTAG